ATGTGATTGTACGTGTTCCCTAACACCACACATGAATCACCACGCATGAACTTCCCATCCCTGCACCCTCTCATCCCCAACAACCTCCTCCCCTCCAGAACCATTCAACTAACGCCCCCCGAAACAACAGGTCGGAGTCGCCCCCTTCGGCAACGCAAACTGCATGGCCCAAACCATGGGCATCTACCTCAGCCTATACCGACACATCCACGGCGCCGGCGCCCAAATCCCCTTCCCGGGCAACGACACAACCTGGTCCCTGACCTCCACCGACTCCAATCAAGACATCATCGCGCGCTTCTGCCTGCACGCCTCCCTGCAGCCAGCCCACAAAGTGCACGGCAAGGCGTTCAACATCGCCGACAGCGCGCGGCCCGTCGCCTGGTCGGAGCGCTGGCCGGCGCTGGCGCGGTACTTTGGGTTAGATGGCGTGGGGCCTGATCCTGCGGCGCTGCACCCGACGCAGTTCATGGAGAAGCATTGGGGCACGGTGCAGGCGCTGTGTCGGGAGAAGGGGCTGAATGAGGAGGTGATTGATCGGAGCATGCATAACACGGGGGCCCGGATGGGGAGTCTGCGGTTGATGGATTTCGATCGAGAGTTTGACTTGGCAAGGGCGCGGGGGATTGGGTTTGAGGAGGAGTTGGGGGTGGAGGAGTCGTGGCATCGGGCTTTTGAGAGGGTTGGGGGCATGGGGTTGCTGTTCTGATTTGCATTCCTGGGCTGTATGTGAAGGGTTGAAGGGGGGTGGGGTATATTCTGGAATGGGGAGGATTGCGTCAGTTGAAAAGACATGCTTCTTGAGAAATGGGTACTGATGGTATGTCGATATGATAATAGTCATATTAATAGATTTTGACTTTCCTTGTCACATTTTTGATAGTGGTGGGATTGTTGGGTGTGAATCCACACTCGGTAAAGTATACCAGTCTTACATACAGTACTATTCAGTGATGTACAAAACTCTCTGGGCCCTGTAACCAGAAAACTGTGGTATATAGCAGATTTGTCCCTGTATTGCTCCCTGTGAGTGCACTCTGGTACAATGGAGAGCCTGAAACTGATTAGTGGCGCCTCTCATATTGCATGCGTCTCTTGGGAATGTGCTAACATCAATCCCCTTTCTGCTAAGCATAGGTTTCAAATCAGTGCCCTTTTTCTATATGATGCTGCCAGGATGCTGCCAAGATGCTGTGTAGTCACGTATGACCTTGCCTCTGTGTGGGACAATGCCTGCGTCCCGCGAGTAAATATATCTTGCGTAATCCAAGCACAAACAGCAGCATCTACGACTAATTATCCACATATCATTATCACACAGAGAAAAAGCTTCTGAAGGGGTAAGCGATAAGGATTCTTGACACCGAATATAATCATGGAATCGATTTAAGGGACTGGATGTGCATTGCTTGCGCTGGCCACGTCACGTGACTGGGGTATATAGAACTGAAACATCAGCCCCTCAGTGTCAGATGTGAATCTATCTCAAGATGTTGATCTAGTGGATCAAGCATATATCTCTCAAAGTAATTGCTCACTTCACCGAGAACCGAGCCTAAGTTACCCGGCGGAGGGGCCCCAGGTCACACATTCCAAGAAACAGCCCTGGTTCTCATGTCTTAAGTCCTACTCATCAAGACTAGACGGAATAATAAGGATACTATTGATACTCGCGAGTGTTCGCCCGATCGGCGAGTCTCGATGTTTCCGGGTTTACGCTTTCAAGATGAAGCAATTGAAAGTACGAGTACAGGGTGTAGTCTATACACCTCATCATACTGTCACAAACATCATCACTCTACAATCGAATCCCGTGCATCATGCCCCCCGAGCACCTCACGCCTTCTCCCGCCTCTCAATCGTCAGCCACATATCCTCCCAGTGACCCACCCCACCCTGAATCACAAACTTGGCCGACGGCTTGTCCTTGACAACATGGGGAGTATAGTACCGGAAGAACTAGACACAAGTCAGCACCAATCAGCCAACCCAACCACCCTTCATTAGCTCAAGCCAAGAGCGTGGGATACATACCTGCAACGGCCCCTTGAACAGCTCCATCATAGCGATATCGCGTCCCAAACACACACGGGCCCCGTACCCAAAGGTAAAAATATACTTATTTAACACCCTCGCCTTCTCCGCATCCAGCCAGCGCTCCGGCTTGAAATCCTCCGCATCCTCCCCAAACACCTTCTTATCGCGGTGCATGATCCACGGATTCCCCGAGATCTCCGTGCCCGCCGGCACAAACTTCCCGTACAGCTCGATGCCCGGCTCCGCCACGTAGCGCGGGAAGATATTCGGCGCCGGGGGGTTCAACCGGATCGTCTCGCGGACACAGGCCACGTAGTAGGGGAGGTGGTCGAGGATGTCAGCGTACTGCGGGGTCCGTCCGTCTGTGAACACGCCACGCGCGACCGCGGCGTCGATCTCGGTCATCATGCGCGCGTACACGGCCTTGTGCGTGAGGAGGTTGTGCACCAGCGCCTGGAAGACCGTGCCTGTCGTATCGGCCCCGGCGAGGAGCACCAGCAGGACTTCGGCTTTGATGTACTCCATGTCCAGCGGTTGGTTGTCCTCCGTGCGCGCCTCCAAAAAGGTTTGGAGGAGGTCGACCCGTCCGATGTCCTTCTTCTCCGACAGGTCGCGCAGTCGCTGTTCGATCAGCGTGTCGCGGAAGCGCATGAGCACACCGACCCCCGACGGGTCGGAGGGCGTCGCCACGAGGTACTTTTTCAGGAAAGTCGTTTTCACCCAGCTGGTGAAGGGGTGCAGGCGCGCGAGGAAACCGAAGGCCGGGAGCCCGTCGTGGAAGCCTTGGATCAGGCCGCCGACGTCGTGGGCTTGGGAGATAAAGCCGAAGGGGGCGCCGAAGCCGACTTCGCTGATGATGTCGTAGGCCATGTAGCTGTGTTGCATCCAAGGGGTGTCAGTAGGGAACTGGGGAGGTTGGGGAATGGCATGAGGCAGAAGCGGAGGGCAACATACACGGCCCACCAGGCAAAGTCAAAGGCGGTCCCCGTGCTAGAAAACTTCTCATCCAGCTTGTCCAGCCACTCTTGCAATCGGAGGTCGATCAACGGCTCCATTTTCTTCACGTTGCTGAAGCTGTACTGTGGCGGGCGTCAGTCGTGATCTGCGCGGAAAAGGCTGCAGGGAAGCGTACCGGCCCGGCAATGTGTTTGCGGAACGAGGCGTGCGTCTTGTACGAGCGCATGTTGAACAACGACTCAGTTTCCCCGAAAGAGCCCGTGATGTAGTGGCCGGTCTTGTCGGCCTGGCGGTGGTAGATGTCCGGCAGCTTTGTCGGGTCGCTGACCAGCAGCAGTGTCGGGGTGATGCGGACGACGGGGCCTGAAAGAAACAGATGTCAGCGTTAGTTGGATGTGCTGCCTTGGTAACATCTCTCTATATCGACGGTGTCGGGTCGGTACCATATTTCTTCGTCAACTCAGAGCAGGTCTGCAGCTCCGTTTCACGCAGATTGTGCCATGCGATCCAAAGGCGAGTGACGCTGCCCCAGAAAGGCCCGGGGAACTTGGCGAGCGGATGGAAGAAGCGGTAGTAGATGATCTGGTAGACGAATTGCAGCACGACATAGACAAGCAGACCCCAGGCCACCCGGGCCAGGGTAAGCTGCGACAAAACGTTCTCCAGGCCCATGACTGTCTGTTGAGTGAGGCAATTGAGTCGCAGGGGCCGGAGAGGTAGGCTCTTAAGAATGCGACCGTTGCCTGACCTCACACCAACCAAGCACTATCCTTTGTTCCTCCTGCTGATCGGTCGGCCAGTAAGGGGCCTCAACTAGAAATGCTCCGGTGTGGGTAGTAGGACAAATCATTGTCGTCTTGCATAAACAATTTGCATCTCATTGGCACGAGCTGACGCAGTGGACAACGTGCAGTCCGGCCCTCGTGCCGACCACCGACTGAGGCCTCCAAGCGTCCCCTCACCCGCACCACGGAGATTGTCAAGCCTGTTTCGGGGAGGACCTAGAATCAAATGGGCAGGCCATCCGGGCTGGAGCACCGTTGGCGCGGGGAGTGGGAGAAGAGAGGGGTTGGACAGCTTGAAATGGTGGGTGTCAATAGGCCCTGACAGGCTGACAGGCTGCCAGGCGCACCGTAGCTCATATACGAAGCTTAGGGTTCAACGGCGCCCCGTGCCTCAATGGATGCCACACCACCATGGCCCGCAGAGGTGAACGATTTCACATCTTATTCGGTACCTTATGTGTATATGTAGCTGTAAATCTAACGGTCAACGGTTTGTGTTTGTTAGTATTGTTCAAGAACCATCTGACAGGTGTCAAAGCAACACAGTTGGCTCGAAGAACAGGCATCTTCCCTGTCGAGTCGGGGTGGGTGAAAAGGGCAGCTGGTGGGTTGGAATCATAACCGGCTCCATAACCGACCCGTGGAGGACGACGGTCTTTTCCCCTTTAATTCTTCGAGCGAGACATTAGGGTTATAACTGATGCCCCTCCGTGCGGGATATGACCTATCGCATCGGCCGCTTCAGATTGGGATCCACCGCGCAAGAGTCGCTTCGCGGCCACCAAGGCCCGCCAAATGAGCTAACTCACACTAAAGGCCGCTAATGCGCGCGCCGTCATCCGATCGGCATTCCTTTTCGACGCTCAGTGACGGATGGCCAGATTGGCGACTTCCGTACTTTTGACAGCTTGTCTTGTAAGGAGGGAAGAGCGTCCGGTTGGCGGATTGTCACTGATAATGATGTTCTAGGGAGGGGGTCAGTTGTTGAGTAACTTGATGCCAATCTGCTATCTCCACCCCATCAACGGTTTTTCTCCCTCCAAACTTCAAGCTCAAAGCCCGACAGAAGTTGGAGAGATGGAGAGACCCAGAGACTCAGAGAGACACTTGTGATGGGCCTTGGGGTCGGTTGAATCCACCCGAAAGAGGGGTGGCAGATGGCCATTCCCGCACCAGCCAGCCTCTGCCGTTCGGCCGTGTTCGAACTTCGGGAGCATTTATGATTTCTCGCGAACTGCTCCATAACCTACCAGTAGAATTGTTGGAGAAAGAAAAATTCGTGTCTTCTTTCTCTACGGCCTCACATGTGAAATCGTATCAGCACTCAATCACCACCCTAATATTAGTTGATCTGGAATCTGAGAGTCTTCAGAGCCGATGTTATCCCGGATGGACAGGCATGAGTCGACTACTACGAGCAAGAATCGACCAGGGCTGAACCTGGCCGCTTGGTAGTCTTGATCCCTTCCTCCATAATCGACTTGCAGTCTCCATTTCGAGACTTCCTTGCGTGGGTGGGTCTGGATAATCGCGATGCCAGAGCGCCACCGCCGGTTCCCCCGCCAATCTGCTGTTGGTGGCTGCCATGCCCTAAGCCAGTTGCAGAGAATGCGTCGGATTGTCCCCTTCCAAGTCAGACGCCGGTGGTTTAGAACAATCGCCGGCGCCGGAACATAGTTCCTACCAAACTCTGCTGCCTTATGGTTTCTTTCAATAGTCAGTGAGACTACGGAGTAGGTTGCCTGGCATGGAAGGGTGACCTGCTTGGAGTCTTTGGACCCAGAAGAATAATGGCATTGTGCAAAAAGAAACAGCCGTGACATCTCCGAGGCTCATCCCCTGGGCAGTACCTATTCACATCACCCTCCAGCAGAATAGATCGCCTGGCCCGCAAGGGGTCTCGGTCAACTGTCAATGCCACAGCAGTCCACAGTGGCATCGCGATCGGCGGGCTTCATTTCTCCCCCGTCCGGAACGATGACCCGCGCCCGCCGCCGATCCGGCCAGAACTGCTATTCTTGTCACGCATTGGCCAAAATAATGTCAAAGAAGCCCTTCTACGAGCTATCCGGTGGACGCAGGCGCTGTGTCAGATGCAATTTTCACCTTTGGTCGACACATACGCGGACCAAAGCTGTAGCCTGCTAGTCCCTATCGAGCGAATGCGCTCGTACCCAGGGACCCTCCCAATCGGCAGGCTTTCCACCTCCTTTCCAGAACTGTCAACCCAAAGTTTGGGGAAAGCCTCGAAAGGAATTCTCTTCGCTCCTGATTCCCTGTTCGGGGAAACGCCACTGGCCATCAATCGACATGCTGTGTGCCAAGGGAAGGCCATTCATCTTAATGTGAGGATTAGGGGAAAAAAAAGAAAAGGGCGAGCTAGGGTTATCCCAGCAAAGCGACTCGTAACCTGCATGATCATCAAACCGAACCTAATCGTCAATTTCAGGTCGGTGCGCGCCCCGAATGTCGCTTCCAGCTACATAAAGAAAGGCACGTCACTCGACCAAAGCCAATTTTGGATCGGAGGATTGTTTCTTTCCTTTTCGCTCGCTGCTCTGTTATTGCTTTTCGGACATGGCCAAGACGCAGGGCCCCGTCGTGGCGGGCGTGGCTATCTCCTTTGCCGTGCTGACCTTTATCGTTCTTTCTCTGCGGTTATTTGCCCGGCTTTATGTGTTGAAGAGCATGGGTCTGGATGACTGTGAGTCTCTACTTGAACTGGGATCGGAGAATTTTGGCTGACTGATATCTTCTCAGACTTGATTGTGGTTGCTTGTGTAAGATGACCGGCACTGCTTTGATTCAGTTGTAGCTGACAGACATAGCTTCTTTCATGGGCCTTCACGGCTGTGACAATCGTTGGTATGTCTTGCCCAGTACTCCGGGCGGGGGGTTTGAAGATACTAATTACGACCAGCCGTTAAGCATGGAATGGGCAAACATATGGAGGATGTCGATCCCGACGGTCTCATCACCTACGCCTTTGTGCGCTTCCTTCACCTTCAGCCTTCAGCCCTCAAAATCCCACCTAACATCGCAATTCACAGGTTGTCTGGCTCAGTTCGATGTTCTACCTCGCCTGTCTCGGCTTCATCAAGACCTCGGTCTGCTATTTCTACACTCGACTGGGCGATAAAACCTTGACCCGACTATCACTGGGGATGATGTGCGTGGTGGGATGTCAAGCGACGGCTTTCGTTCTGACAGCAGCTTTCCAATGCAATCCGATCCCCAAAGCGTGGAATAGCAGTCTCCCCGGCCACTGCGTGACCATCAACGTCTTCTACCTCTGCAACGCGGCCCTCAACATCCTCACCGACCTGTTGACCTACACCCTCCCGATCCGGGTGATCCTACATCTTCACATGCCCTACAAACAGAAACTGGCCCTGGGGTTTATTCTCTGCCTGGGTTTGTTGTGCGTTGCCTCCCTATCCCTAGAACCACCACTAGCACGCAACCACTAACATTTCAATCTACAGCGCCTGCGTCTCCTCCATTATCCGCATCACCTACATCCCCACCATGCTCTCCTCCGCCGACTCCACCTACGCCATCAGCGGCGCGATGTACTGGTCCGCCATCGAGATCAACGTCGGCATCCTGGCATCCTCCATCCCCTCCTTCAAGGCGATCGCCTCGCGCTTCCTCCCGCGCTGGATCGGGGAGTACTCCTCCAACAAGGGCTACGGCGGCTGGTCGAGCAGCAACAACAACGCCGCCAAGCGGTACGGGTCGGGCTTCTCCAAGTCGCGGCCGCCCGAGTTCGGGATGAGTGTGCTGCAGAGCCACTGCGGCGAGACGGAGACCATCGCCGGCACCCAGATCGAGCGCAACGGCAGCGAGGACCGGATCGTCATCCCGGCGGGCAAGATCATGGCCCAGACGGAGATCGAGACCAATGTCGAGGTCAGTCCAGTGTACCTGCGGTCGTCACCTTCGTTTGATCTTCCGCGGTGATGTGGGTTTGGACCACAGCTGCCGTCTCTTATTTCCTTTGTGAATGATGTATATTTTACTATATCTAGATGCATATAAACTAGACTCCGTTAGTTTACTAGTGAATGGTCGGGTATCTTTAGTAACTCATCGGATAGCGGACCCCAATTGTGGGCTTACAACAAGCCCGAGGGATTGACGCACCCTCATACCCCGTATTCTGTTTCTCCCTTCGCCACGAACAAGGCAAAGATACAAATCACATGCAGCGCCATGCGACTCTGAGGGATAGAATCTGATACATCCGTTTCTCGGGATTTGCCCGATAGGACAGATCCAGATCCCTCCACCCGGGCCCCACAACATACGATGCGCTCGGATATCGGGCTTGACAGAGTTCGTGATACATCACATTGACTACGTTGCTCTCCGCGCGCGGGCCGCTCCCCCCTCGCTAGGTGCCGGATCATCGATGGGAGAATGATGTGCATTCACGGTAATCGTCTGCCATCGGGATGATCCAGAGAGGTTGACCGGTGATTAGTGATCGATGATCGGTGGAGATGGTAACAAAGGTTGTGATCGACTTAGCTTAACTGCTGCGAGTTCGTCTGCGGTCAGAAGGTTGATCGGGATCGGATTCTCTCCAAGGTTTTATTCGGCGATAAGCAGAGTACCTTCAATCCTGTCAGACCTTGTTATACGATGTGATGCATGGACTCTGCTCCTATTTGTCGGCAGTCATCCCCGGAGCCCCCGGGTCATTGATCATACAATATATTGATGGATCTAGATCGCCAGAATTACTATCTTCGAATGGGTTCACAGTTCGTCTTCATTCCAAGTTACCCCTTGATTCGCACTTAGGGTATACCTGGATTTTGCCCTCTATCCGCTTTGACCAGTAGTCCCGGTTTGTCCCCCAGCATCGCCTCGACATTTCCGCCGGTACTTCACCCCCTATGCGTGTCTCTACTTGTGAACAGACAGTGGAAATGCTGTATATTTTTGATCCGATCAAGCTCACGGATAACCCTGCTGATTCTCGCCGTACTTGAGTGTGTCATCTCAATCTGGAAGACCAGCAGACCAAGCCGCGATGCGACACACTCAAAAACAATACACAAGGTACATCCAGCTGCAACATGCTTCCCATATGTGTGCACTCGTACCCTTCAAGAAAGTTCAGAGAGAAACCCACTTCGACTGCTTCGACGTAGGCAGGCAGCAGTAAAAGCCATAGCCACCTACCGATCCCATTTAGTCCTCCTCCTCACCAGAAAAATATCCAGAGTCTCTTCCCTCCCTCACACGAAGGCGATTCTCAACACCAGCTTGCCTCTCATAGTGGCTCTTCAGACGTGGGGACGCACTGGCCCACGTCGCCGCGCATTGCATGTACAGCTCGTCTGGAATTGGAGTAAGCCCAGCACCACCGAGGAGTCACGATGACCACGTTGAAAATCGGTCTCTGGCCATGCCCACTTACTAAACTCGGCTTCCGACATGTGGTGGCCCCCTTGCGCCTCCAGCCTGCTGGCCAAAAATTCCCCGAACCCATCTCGAGGGAGCGCTGTGCTTGGGATCCCTTGCGTCCGGTCAGCAGTGACGCAAAATCGGAAGGCTTCTGCGTCATCTTGGACGTACTCTCTTTCGGACCTTTCTTGTTTCGAAGGCGTGCCATTGCGGGGGGGTAATATGATGATGATGTTGATGATAATGGTGCTGACTATGGATGGACACGTCTCCGGCTGGAATTATGTTTGTGGGAAGAGGAGGTCGGTGAAGAAGCCAGTGTCCCACAGCTCCCTAGAAATACTTGACAGCACGCGGTGATTGAGTAGCCGGGGCCTATCTTATTTAGAAAGTCGTCATCAAGCGAGGCCTCAGAAGAGATGTGACTTGATAACTGCCGATCCCCCGGGTGTGACCGCATAGAGAGCCCCAACACCCGGACCCGTGTGGTCCCCGCATGTCAGAGAAACCTCGCGTCGCTCAACTATCGGGCTATAAGACAACGAGTTATCTACCCCGCTGTGAAAAGAAAGCTTCTGCTACATTTCAAGTAGGTTAGAATCTAGATATCTTTAGTAACCGATGTCTGCTGAAGCGAAAAGTGTTGGCGTGAGGGCCATCGAGGTTTACTTCCCGTCGCGACGCGTTCAACAAAGGGGGCCGCAGAATGACAGGCTGGCTGCGAGGGACAGCAAGGCAGGAGACAGTTATGTGTTCTGTGACGATCGAGAGGACGAGAAGTCCATGGCTCTGACGGTTCTCGCCTCCCTCTTCCGATCCCGGCCTCAGGCTGTGCATCCTGGCTCGATCGGCCGCTTGGAGCTCGCTATCACTTCGGCGGACCCTGCATCCAGGTCTCTTGGATCCTTGTTAAAAGCGTTCTTTCACCCCGCCGGGAACACATCCATCGTCGGGGTTCGGAGCGTGCCAGGGTGCGAGGGAGGGCAGGATGCCATCCTCAATACGGTCAACTGGATCCATTCCAGTGAGTGGGATGGCAGGGATGGACTGGTAGTACTGGGCTCTGTCCAACAGGCCGAGGAAGAGGAGGGCGTTGCTCTGGCGGCCGTTCTTATCGGGCCTCACGCCCCGGTGGTTCTGGACGAGTGCCCTCGAGCCCTGTGCTTCCGGCACCCCTGCGAGAAATTCCATCACGACTCTTCTTCGACGTCACCTTCTTCCGACGAGAGCTTCCTCTCCTGCCTCGCGCAGTGCTATCGACAAATTCAATCCCAGGATATGATCCAGCAAGAACAGGGGGCCACCGAGCGACCCGACCGCAGGAACCGAGCACTCACGTTGGATCGCTTCCAGCGCGTGCTGTTCCAGTGCCCGTCGCTGCGACTCACACGCAAGGCCTACGCTTATCTCCTCTACCTCGACTTCCTCGCGAACCCAGATCACGCGCACTTCGACTCCATGGATACCACCACTCAGGCAATCGCCCAGGGTCGAGGGTTCATTGATGATGAAGTGCAGGACACTTTCTACGCCCTGTCCGAGGCCAGGTACGAGGAAAGAATCCGCCCCTCCCTTGCCTTCTCGAATATATGTGGATACGCACATGCCGCCACCTTGTGGGCGTCTTTAGCGAGTGTTTTGGCCTCGGGCATGCCCGACAACCAGCAGCCAGGGCCCTCTCGGGTTCTTCTTTTTGCCTATGGAGACGGCGTGATGAGCGCGATGTATACGGCCACGATGGGGTCAGACGCACCAGGTATCATTGACAGTGACAGCTTTCGGGAGCGACTAGAAGAAGGCACGGTTGTCCCGCAAGAGACGTTTGACTGCGTTAGCAAGTCTGCTGCCAAAGGGGTCACAAAGCTGGCAGGAAATATTGAGGCGATCGGAAGGGATACGTACTACTTGCATCGCATCAACGCCGATGGAGAAAGGGAATACCGGCTGAAGAAGAATTAGACCCGACGTTGTTGTACAACAAACACGATTTGTTTCGTTATCAACCTGTTTCACAAGATTGTTTATGGTTTGTTGCATGTCACCCTGAGTCTTTTCACACCAAGTAAACGCGTTCCAAGTATTGCTAAGCCTAGTACATAATCAGCTGACCTTTGTAAAACCCAGCAGGGGCAGATGTAATACTTGCTTGCTTGAGTCAATGTAAGCTTTTTCCCGACAATCTGCGCAACCGGGGAAATAGATCCCAGTCGCACACGATATGTAAGAGAGGCACAACAGGTTCCAGGGCCGGTAAAGATGAGCCTCAGAGCCTTGTACCAGACACGGCAGGCTGCGGCTGGAGAGCATTAACGGAAGGAGGAAAACAATAAACAACACAATGCCTTGCAGATCAAGAACACCATCTGGGTGGCGGCGCTGCTTGCGGCGCAGAGAGAGATGAGGCTGGGGATGGAGCAGATCTATCTTGTGCTTCGGGCCACGCGGATGATTGGGGCCTAGGTATTGGCAACGTGTTTGTATCTTCTGCGCTATGTTAGAATAATGGACGCTGTTCATCCAACCCATGATCTGACAAAGTATCCCCACTACAAGTTGGATAATCTACAGCAGAGCTCAAGCTAGAAAGTCAGCCACTCTTCTCCCTCAGCACACTCCAAGACCCCAACGCCTGTCACTCGCCCCAAATACCCCAGCTGCGCCTTGAACCATCGCTGCTGCTCCTCTAGCCTGTCTATCCCCGAAGCCACCGTCAACGGCCACACCAGCAAGCTAGCTCTATACGGCGAGGGCGGCAGCGTCTTATCCCACGTCGCATTGCGCACCCCCCATGCCGCATTCTCCGTAATGTGTACCTGTCCCAGAACAAACGGTACAGAGGCCATCAACTGCCTGGCCAGAGTCTTCAAGTCTACCTCATGAGCAGCAGCCAAATCCCTCGCAGCAAGATGGTCGCACCAACCGGCCGCCCCGGACCCGGCGATTTCGTGTTTCACGAACTTCAAGACCCTCAGACAAACACTCTCACTCAACATGGCCAGCGTCAAGTAATGACACCATAGAACCGCCTGTGCCAGGGTAGGGAAGTAGTACACTTTCTCCTTTGCCGCAACCATCTCCCTTTGAATCCAATCCACCTCGCCCTTCCACGCCTCCAACGCACTCCTCACCCTGTTTCCCTCCGAGTAGACCCTCTTCGCAGCAGCGGCAGCCCCGATCCAACGTTCCTCGCATGATGTCTGAGCCGAGCCCGCCCCAGCTCCATCAGCAACCCGAAACCCCGGCGCAACACTCCTCCCCCGTAACTCCACTACCCTAACCGCCAGCGCATCCAACCTCTCCTCCACGCCGCCAGTCGCCTCCCCAAACACCTCCCCGGAGTGCATCCACTCCGGCAACATCATCCCCCGCATAAGGGCAGACCTCATCACCGCCCGCCTCGTCAGCTTCACCACCTCCGAGGGTATCCCCCCACTTCCTATATGCCCTCCGCGACAGCGGCAAGCATCAACCCAAACCCTCAGAACAGCCACCGCCCCGTCCTGATGCGCGCAGCTTGCCAACATCCCAGACCGCAATCCTTTTGGCGAACCATTTCCAGAACCTCGTGGATTGCCCGCTCCCCCACGGAATCTCAAGGAGACAGATCGCGGGTGAACGGTATCCTCGTACCGACTCATAAAGAAGATCATCAACAGGAGGACATCAATGCCAATTCCATCGATCCGAGCCCCAGTGGCAAGGCTCATGGAAGCGAAGATACTTCGCGCCTCGCGCAGCACCGCGGAATAGGCACGCGCTGCTTCCGTTCGTGCGGATGGACAGTTCTGCGCCCGGGCGAAGTACGCGAGTGCGAGGGGGGTGAGTGCTTTTTCCAGAAGGGTTGAGTTGATGAACTGGTAGGTGGAGAGGGAGGGGGAGGAAGAGAGGGTCAGGGTGGGGAGGTAGGTTTCTGTTAGGCTTGAGATGAAGTCATCACTTCCTCTGTTAGCATAGGGAGGGGAAGGGGACGAAGGGGTATGTTGGTGGAGGTAGAGGGCTATCGCCTGGGAATGTAAGCTGGGTTGGGGCTGGGGGTACACGATGGTGGTAGTATTTGTACTTGTATCAGTACTACTGGTGCGGGCGGCTCGGGGTCTGCTGCTCACGCTGCTCCTCGGCCCACGCGGTCGCTTGCGTTGTCCACTTGCGTAAGGGTTTTCATGGTGGATGATAGGGGAGGTGGAGAGGCCGTGGCACGTTCGGTGGGCGGTTTGGCAGCGCTGGCAGATGGGGTGGGTTTGGTCACACTGCCAGTATTGTGTTAGATATGTGGCTTGGGGGTGCGGGGGCGAGGAGGGGCTGGGGATAAAAGTACTTACTTTTATGCGGCGGATCCTGCAGGTCTGACAACCTCTGGAAGATGGCATCGTGGTGTTTCCTTGTAGTTAGAGTTATGTCTATTGAGTGGTGGAGTTGCTTGTTAAGCCGTGCTGTCATCTTAAGGTGAGATTGCATCTCGGGTCCGATATAGCGGGTTGCTTCGTTAGCTCCGATCCTTTGGGACTTGGCAGGATCTATGCTCTTGTCCTCTCACATTGTCCGGTATGGATGGTCATATACGTAAGCTGCACCCTTTGGATCAAGTCCCTAAGAACAAGCCATGGAATGGACAACCAGCCACGCTTCACGTGGTGGAAGAAGCCCGTGAAGGAATGCGGTACAATGCTTGGCAACAGTCCATTGCTGTATAGCCAGCCTAGAACCGCATTCCTGAACATGTGGGGAATTCTAGGCCCAGGAGGCGAATGCGGGGGAAGCAACCGCACCGCACTGCAGAGCGGGATAGTTATGCTTCTTTTCGAGGGGGCTGGACTGCCGATGCCATGCCATGCTGACTTGCCACTGCCGAAAGCATAACACAATATCACGTTATGCTACGCATTACTACCGCCACGTTTCGCCTGCCAATGAGGATCTGTAAACCTGTCGAATCTTGGATTGATAGAACATGGTTCGAGAGCTTAAAAGAGTCTGCACAGCCACAGCATTTCGATTGTAGTGTGATGAGCAGATAAGGTTGGCGATCTGGATCTAGCCATTGTACTCAACACGGTTACAAGATCTAGTCTCCACTTACCCGAACCAGGGTTCGAGTCATGGTAATTGCACATAGTGTTAAGGTTCGGTTGTCGCTCACCTTTTGAATTGAGTGTGTCTGGCCATCTGTCGAAGGTCACTTGAGCCAGCTTACTTGTGATTTCAGGAAATTGTGGATATAGGACCTGTTGTTTTCATGCATGATAGCACTGCCTCGATGCCTCTACACCTGACGTCAAGACTCAAGCAGCGGATACGAGAACTATGACGAGTCCAGACTATTCTATCAAAAGGGCATGGCATGATCCAATGACTTATCTGTGTAGCGGTCGAGGCTATAAAAACTCGGGGTATTTCTTCTCGATCTCAACCTTCCACAACAACCCACCCATCAAGCACAGAGCCCGCTCCAATACCAAACATCAACATCATTTCCCACGATGCATTTCAAGACCGTTATTTTCTTCCTCTTCATCGCCTCCACCCTTGCTGTCCCCGCCGTGGTCCCTCTTGACGCTCGAGCCGCCCCGGTGAAGTACGAGGGCTCTTGGGACTACACACAGACAGTCCCTCCCTGCTACCCCACCGGCCCCGACACCGAACAGGTCCACTTCTCCGTCACCTGGGATGGCCATTATACGCAGAGCACCGACGAGAAGACCGGTGCGGTGACCTACAAGGGCCACGTCAACCAGAAGGGCACGGGGGTGGGCTTGACCAGCGGCAAGAAGTACCAGTTCTCGAGCGTCGGCAACTACGATCAGACGTGGACGTACACTCCCCCCTACGACGGGGAGTACCATTCGGTACAGAACTACCAGATCGTCAAGCAGGGCAGTGGCGTGGCGTACTCGTCCAAGTACAATGCGTATTACACGTATGACCAGACCAAGGGTCTGGTGTTCCGGTTCGATCACAATGATGACACCTGCTGAGTTGAGCCTCTGGATTCCCCCATCCAGTGTGAGCCTCGTCTGAGGCTGCCGGAGGAATGAGTGCGGTCGGGCCACCGAGCCTGATCTTTTGTGGTCTAGTGTCGAGAGCTTTTTATTGGCGAAAGGAGACCAGTTTATCGTGGATTGTCGGTTGAGCCTGGGGCGGTTGTTTTTGTACAATGTTTTGTCGGTTGAAGTCTGCACTGGAAGGGCAATAATGCCGCAGATAGATGATAGATGATTCATCACCTTCAATACTATATAGTTAATCAATAAGCTTCATTGTTCCTACTCCCAGAAAACTATATATGCTCACTCGGAGTACTTCCGCTGTGGTGCGACGGAGGATAGCAGCTATCGTATCCAATCTGGAATTGTGTACTACCGACAAAGTTTTCAATCATAACCTACCGGTATCAATTATTTGATTGTACGGGAGATATGATCCATCAAGATACGGATGGTGTACCCTAGACAGAGCTATTAGGCTGCACCCGCTTACACTGCAAATGGCGTCTCAAGTGTCACGCTTGCTTGGACAGGTGCATGGAAAGGTGCTTGTATTCTGAATTAGGAAACGGTCAGTCATGTGTCGAAGGCACTCAAGAAGGAACATAAACACTATCGCAGGATGGCCGCTGTCCGTCAATATAGCCCGTTCCCAGCCTTGCAACCCGAGCAAGGCGAGGCGAGGCTAAGTTATAACTATTTCAGTGGTTATGACGTGTCGGGCACTGCTAATATGCATGAGCCAGACGGCGCTGCTCCGCCGCCCCCCCCCCCCCCCCGGGGCCAATGAAAGTGTTGCATTAAGCGCCAACCGGTATGTCGACCTCCTGCCGGTGGCACCTCACTTTGAGCGTATTCTAGCGTTTGGTGGGGTTTATAACTTGAAATCGGGCTTCGCGCTTGTTCTCGGAAGTTGGAGCCACTCAAATACCTCTACACCCGATGTAAGATAGTCAGTCTCATGGAGACGATCTTGGATAACTTGGATAGTGAGTAATAAGATGTACTCGACTTCTAGACCCGATAGACCAAGGAAATAGCTCACCATAGAAGCATTTGATCGCGACTCCTGGGAAATAAGCCTCGGGGAAGCTTGCAGAAAGAATAGCACATGTCAAATAAGAAAGCATCTCCACGCGCAACCTCCCCGGAGAGGCTCACAAGAACAGAGGCCGACAATGAAGACTCGCTAGATTACTACACGGTGGGCTGGATATGCGCACTAGAGGAAGAATACGAATGTGCATGTAGAATGCTAGACGAAGAGTTTGACGGCCCCGATGCCCTCGAAGACGAGGATGAGAACACCTACGCATTCGGTAAAATTGGAGGCCATGGGGTAGTCGTGGGCTATCTGCCACCCGGGCGGTATGGTACGAACTCTGCCTCGCGCGCGACGAGAGATATGGTGAGGACATTTCCACAGCTGCGATTTGCGTTGATGGTAGGCATCGGAGGCGGGGCTCCGACTTCGGAGGCCGATATCCGTCTAGGCGATGTGGTGGTCAGCACACCGCAGGGAGGGCTCGGAGGCGTCATTCAGTATGATCACGGGAAATGCCTGCCGGATGGTCAGTTCAAACAGACCGCGCAGCTGAATGCCCCGCCGGACAAGCTGCTGTCGGTCATCGGGGCCCTGCGACGCCGATACAACGATCCGAGAAAGCCAGATTTTGTTGCGGAACATATTAGGCTTATGGACGACATGTCAGAGTACCAGCGACCACAACAGGATAATTTGTACGCCGCAGAGTATGAACACCAGGAGGGAAAGACCTGTGCGGATTGTGATCTCACCCAGACTGTACAGAGGCCACAGCGACTAAGTCATCGTGTGATAACTGTCCACCACGGAACAATCGCATCGGGGAATTCAGTGATCAAGGATGCTGCCACACGGGCTTTGTATGCCCTCGACCCCGAGCTGAAGGTTATCTGCTTCGAGATGGAAGCCGCCGGATTGATGAATAATCTGCCTTGCCTTGTTATTCGTGGCGTCTGTGATTATTCGGATTCACACAAGAACGATGATTGGCACAAGTATGCTGCCTTGACCGCTGCAGCATATGCACGCGAGCTTCTTCTTGTCTTGAAATCGCGTGGGGTTTATTTGATGCCGCCATGGGCTGCCCGGATTCAGGATCAAGTGATACAGGGTTAGTCCAAGGTTGCAACCATTATACATAGTCTGTGCTAATGCACGTGCAGTTGCAAGTGTGGTGAGCGCATAGACGAGAAAATGTACGCTGAAGGTTCTTCGGGAAGTGGAAGACTAAGCTGACATTCTCAGCGGGCTGTCCCGCGACAAGGCAAAGCTCATCGAGGAAAAGATTGATTTGACCAAGCTCCCGATAGTTGATGGCGCCGCATCTGATGAGTATATGCACCAACCCGAAGGTGAGTGCCTTCCATGAACCCGAACCGACGTTCGTCGACAAACCGCAGAGTAGGTGGAAAGTCTCAACGAAAAGTGCATCTTCGGCAGTTGAGGTTGCATGAGGCCAGCGCGGCGCTGGTGGAAAGTATCTCCTATGTTGAAAGAGGCAGTGCAGATTCTGTGATACCTTTTACCCATGTGACCCTCTGACATCGCGGTGTATAGGCTGGAGTGTAGATATGAATTGATGAAAGAATTGCAAGTCCTATTGGCGGAAGCTCTATGTTACATTAACTCAATATGTGCGAGATATATCGACGAAATCGGTATCAACAGCAGCGCAAGGCAAGTTGCGCTTCAATAAGACATTAAATGACGGAAAGAATTTATAAGGAATAAATCAACCGGGGGAATATAAGACGAGATCGGTCGCAGGGGGCTGAAGAGCTTTTGTGCGGATCAGGAGGGTGAGGTATTTATAAGGGGGGCGCAGAGTCAATGCGCCCCCGGAGAAACTGTGTGGGAAATCAAAAGGGAAATTTGCAAGGGGAATAGGGGAATAGCCAACAAGAAAACAACGCTTTCTATACAGGGTATGTCGAGGGGGGGTCGCCTCGACTTTTCAGAGGGCTGTGCGGTTGTTGGGGCTCCATGCTCGTGGAGTCGACCGGGAGAACTGGGCCGGACAGCACCGATTGCTCGCGGCTGGCGCTGTCCCAGGATGTGTTGCGTTGGAGGCCGAAGGCAACACTGCTGTTGGCGCTCGTGAATTGGCTGTTGTCGAGGCGAGTTGGCGCGCCATGGCTGTCCACAAGGGGCGCCACCGGCGTCGAGTTCGCCGTGCGATCCACATTGTCTTCTCCCGGATAGTGCCGCGGCATAGTGGTCCGGTGGGTGTTCTCCGGGTCCGAGGTAGCGGCCGATGCTTCGCTCTCCGATGAGCCCGCCAGCTTACCGGCATCCGGTGGCACATAGGCCTCGTATTGCTTCAGATAGTCATAGTGGCCGAGAGTGACCTTCTCTCGGATAATGTCCACGTCCATGGGGAAGTACACCTTTTGGATGCATTTGCAGACGAAGCGCGGTGTCAGGCAGATTACCACGGTCAGCAAAAACACGACCCAGAAGGACAACGCCCCATAGACCTGCTTTGCCGCACCATAAAAGGTGGCGGATGATTCAAAAGACGAATAGATACCGGTCCAGAAGAAGATCAACAGCGAACTGAACGCATTGATCAACGTCGAGAACCAATCCCAGCGATACATGTTCATCATCACGTAGGTATTACTCGTAACCACGGCACAAGTGGCCACAAGAACACCAACGCGATAGATGTCATCGATGCCCATTCCATTCTCCGTTTGGAAATTGGCAACTTGATACAACATATAGGGCATGAAGAAACAAATAATCGACTGGTAGAATCCATCAAGCATGTAGATCCTGGACAAGTCATTAGCGTTGATTTCAACAAAGGCCCCAAGTGGGCCTCTTGAGCACTACTTACCAGAACTTCGTCTGCGTCCACTCCTTCCGCTCGATACCACGCATGTAAAGTTGTGGGACGGCCATGGAGACCCGATCGTCAACATCTTGATCAAAGATACCCATGAAGATGACTGGCAGTGACGTGAACGCCACGTTGACCAAGGTAATATACGTATATTCGAATAGATAAGTTCCGTCGAAGTTATCATAGATGGAATACCAAAATAGGGCAAAGGTCCAGACCAAGTTCTACCAAAAAGTCAGCAACTCTTCGTCTACTGGGAACTCCCAAAACACAACGAAACAAATTGTTCGACTAACCTTGTAGAAGAAGTTGGCGGTGGTTTCACCAAGACGGCGATAGGCCCATCGTCCATGGACCAGAATTAACCGCTGCAAGAACCGGAACTGTCCGATCGCGTAATCGGCCGACATGACAGCCTGACGACCCTCCTCACCAGCAATACCAACTCCGACGTCGGCTTTCTGGATCATAGAAACATCGTTGGCACCGTCTCCGATAGCCAGAGCCATGACGTTCAAACCGTTCTTGACCATCTCCACCACGGCAGCCTTCTGGGCGGGGCTGACACGGCAACAAAGCACCGACTTACACTTCCGACAAAGAAGCAAGAACTTTTGCCGCAAGGCGTCATCCAACATGAAGCGAAGAGTATCGCCATCCAGCACAAGAGCGTGGGTCTGCGGAGGCGGTGAGTGATCCTTGCGAGCGGCCTCCAGCTCCTCATCCGAGCCCGTGATACCGAAGATTTCCAGTTTGCTATCAAGCAACTTAGCGGCCATGTCGATGTCGGAGGGAGCATCGAACACAATCATTTGCATATCGGTATTAAGGAGATTGCAGGAGAACCCGATGTTGATGGCGGTTTCGATCTTGTCGCCGGTCAAAACCCAGAGTTTGATACCTGCTTCGGCAAGGAGGGAGATGGTATCAGGAACACCATCTTGCAGGCGATCTTCAATGGCAGTACCTCCAAGAAGATACAAATTCTGCTCAATAGCATTGGACACCTCCTCCAATTTCTCCTCACGGTCCACAATGGCAGCGGCAGCGGCGTCGTGCATGACACTCCATTCGCGGTACTCTTCAGGTTCAATGGTGCGCTCAGCAATGCAAAGCACTCGCAGACCTTCTTGGGCGAAAGTCTCGAGATCCCTCGTGGTAGCATCGCGTAGCTCGCGTTGTTGGCCGGGAGCCAAGCGGGAGTAGATCATTGTATCAGCACCCTTACACAGCAAGCGAATAGTGCCATCAGGCATCTGCACAATCACACTCATTCGTTTACGGGTGGAGTTGAATTCCAGGATGTTCAAGATAGTATACCTACGCTCGTCACCCATGATATTCAAGATCAAGCTTTCGCCCGATCGGCCGAGAGTAGTGAATCCGCAATCGCGGGCCGTGGCAACCAGGGCAGCCTCGTCCGGCGATTGTGCCTTGAACTCAATCTGGGGAGGGTCGCCGGGAATGCGCTCCGTGACTACTGTATGACATAAGGCCAAAGCAGTCATGAAATCTATCGCAGCCTGCTGCTGAGCCTCTCCCGAGGCACCACCCAGGTCAGCTGCGAATTGGGGAGCAACGAAGGTCAAGTTCTCCTCCTTCAGGTACGGATTATCATGAAGCTGGCGCAGTTGTTGAATCATTTCGACACGTGCCTCACTGATTCTCTGACGAGCCTTGGCAGCTTCCTCCTCCACGTTCACCAGTCCCTGTCGACGCTGCATGCCCAACTGCGCTTCGGTGTATGCCTCACCATAAGGCACGCCGTTGACGGTACATTTCTTGAACTCCATGACGTTCTGCGTCAGGGTCCCGGTCTTGTCAGAGAAGATGTACTCGATTTGACCGATATCATCAGAAATATTCCAAGACCTGGGCACACAGGACATCTTCAAGCGCTCGTAATACATATGGATATCATAGTAAATGTAGAGAGCCTGAATGACGCGGCAAATTTCCAGGGAGATGTACAAGGCGATAGGAACCAAGTTCTGAAAGAGGACCACGCCCACGAAGAAGGCGATGACACCTTGGACAGCAGGTGTGCCACCATAGGAGCCGTACTCGAAGAACGTCAGTGAAGCATCGTCCAGGCCCCAGGCAAAGCCGTTGATGAATCCAGAGATCACACACATGATGAAGAGGATGGCGAAATTGTAGACCACGTTCCAGTTCATGTTGCGCGCCATCTGTGGGCGTTTGCTTGGCGTGAGACCCTGGTTCAGCATAATTTTCGTCTCCGGGCCGGTGAAAAGCACGACACCCAACACCCACTCAGTGTTTTGTAAGCTACAGCCTCGAAGCAGAATGTTGTTGATCGTGATGGGCTCCACGCGGTTCTGCGGGGCCTCTCCGGATTCGTCATACTGATCCCAATAGATAGCACCGCTGAAGGAGTAGAGGTTGGCATGCGCGGGCGGCGATTCGACAGTGAACTCGGCTTTCTCGCAATCTCGAGCATTCCGCAACACGCGACCGCAATTTAAGGCATTGCGCACCTTGAGATTCGTCTCTCCATCCAAGTTCTTGGTTTCGACGTAACATGCTCCGTCCGGGTCGGAGGTGGAGAGAATGGCGATGTCGGCGGGGATTTGGTCACCATTGTACAATCGCACAAAATCACCCACGTTGACGTCCTTCCAATGTTGGCGTTTGAACCGCGCCTTCCCCGGGGTTACCCGTTTCGGATTCACGACACTACCCTTGGTCCGTGCCCACGGCGAGTTTGCCTGCTGGTCGTGATCATTCATGGGATCGGGCCAGTCGCCAGAAGCACGGGCCTCCATGGTAGGGGAAACTGCCGTCATCTCGATCGCGATCGGCGAGTTCGGCTCAACCGAGGGCCTAGCATCCGCCATTTCCACGTCCCCCGCCACATCTTTGTCGGCCCCGTTCTTGCGGAAGAGACGCTTCATGCCTCGATAGCTGGTAACCACAGCCCGCGTGCAAGCCTTTTTGAACTTACGCCAGAGGGAAACATTGTCGGCAGTCACGTTCACGTTGTCCCAGTCCGTCAGGCGATATACCGGAGAGTTATTGAGTTCGTTGTCGGACACGGTTCGTCGCCAATCCTCGATGGCATCTTTGACGGCGGTGACGACGACGATGACGATCAGCGGGACGGCACTCAGACCGGGATCGGCGTCCCCGAAAATCTCGAAGCACTGCAGAATGATGACGAACAAGAAGTACAGGTTGGCGATATTGTGGAACTGCAGCCAGAGGTTCTTGGGGATGAAGGTGAGCGGGGTGTAGATGGCGGTGCGGATTTTGTTCCTCGGATAGACGGCCTTGAGATTGCCTTCCTCGTCCCGCTCCTCGTCCGGAATAGGAAGGTTGAAATGAACTTTGCGCGATCCCGATTCTCCCTCGGCGATTTCCGGCACGCCTGCTGTCGCACTCGCCATGGTATCCGTCTGGTTCTGTCGGCGCCCGCGTTCGAGAATGGAGACTCTCTTGCGCAAGCCCGAGGCGGCGGTCATTCTCTTGGTAGCCCATCGCGCGCGCTTGGTGGATTTCTTATTCGCGTCCTCCTCGGAGCTACTGGGGAGGGGCGGGACTTCGCTCGAGGCTCGTTCCAGCCCATTCTCCCCTTTGCCGTCGTAGCTATCCATATGGGTCGTGGGTTTATTCCCGGGTGATCACGAGCGACAGACGGTAAGCATCGGACCGGTCGGGATGGACGAGCACCGGTTCGACGCGGCCAGCGCAGGCCTCGGAGAGAGGGTGAGGGAGCTCGATGGTGCTGTCGTCGAATAAGAATGGAGCCAGCCTAGAAAAGTCCTTGCACGTCAGAGCGATTTCCAGAATGTGGAGGTGAGTGAAGTGGTGGATTGGGTTTGGAGAGCGGAGAGCTTCTGGGTGGGACGAGCAGAGCAATGGGAGAGTGGATGCGACCGACCGGAAGTAGATGGATTCTCGAACTGCTGGTGGTAAGAAGGAAAGAATAGGCCGAGCACGAAGCTGGAGGGGAGAGGAACACGAAGTTCGTGAGGAACGCGATAAGCGACCGAGAATTGGAGGAGTAAATGAGGGAGAAAGAATGACAGAGGCGGAGGAATGCAGGAGGGGAAGAAAGATGGGTGGGCGAGGCTCTGGGCGGGCCAGCTGGAAGAATAAGCAAGAGAGTCATCAATTGGCGATGCAACGGGGCATTGCCACCTCTCATAGGCGGGATTGATCAGCACGGCTGTCCCGGCATCGTAAAGCTTCACCGCCTGTCAGACCATTGGCCGTGGCAGTGCCCGTCCGCCTCATTTTTTCTGCCCATTCTTTCTGCTCGGAGATCCATCGGACCGGAGCGGAGTCCGGCAGCAGAATGCCCGATGCTCGCTAAGCTCGTTGCAGTTAGTGGGTCGCAATTAAAGTGTGGCAACAATAAAGGGTCTGAGACAAGCCTCATCAAAGATGCAAAGATGAAAAGATGCAAAGATGATTAAGTATCTATCTATCGTGTCTGTCAAGCATCATGTGTTGAGGTGAAGACACTCAGTATCATCTCGTGATGCTACAGCAGATCTACCCAGCTCCACTGCCCACTCTATCCTCCTCGAACGTATGAGTATACCTTCCAGCAAAGGATCCACCCGACGTCATCCCTGCCACTTTATTTTCACCCGGTGACTTTTAGCTTCTAGAACTATTTTGAGAGCCATTTTTGCCCTTTTCCCAGCGGCATAGCGCTCTACTATACAGTACAACATTCTAGCTAAGCAATAAGGTGCAAAGAAAGCATCGAGTCTTCACCACCGCGTTGTGATCGACCCTTGTTTGTATGCGAAAGGAGGTAGCTTTAGCTTGCACATATATCCTTAGTAGCAGTATATTCTCCCCAGAATCTCTTGGCTATCATTAACAGTCAGAATTGTTTATCCCATAAACCTTAGCTACGTCGGTGTCTAAAATATGAAATGGTAGATGGCGACAATGGGAGGCAAAAGAGGATAGGTGCAAGTCTATTTACCATCGAAAGTTATCTAGATATGTGTATGAGACAAATTTACGTTTCTGCCATAGCTCAAGTCATGAAGTATTAATCCTTTATCCAGAGAACACAAAGCCACTCCATTCTAAATAGCTCTCTTGGAGACCGTCCTCTCTGCTAAAGTCGTTGGGCAAGGTGGGTGGCAGCGAACGATCGCGCCACCAGCTGGCGGTATTCTGTTTGCTCGAGTTGCTGTCAACCATCCTGAGCTATCAGACGTTGCAAACTGGCAAACACCCCACCTCCAGCTTTGGTGGGGGGGGGACTTATCCCGCCCTATCTGGTCTCCATACTCCGTACAGTGTTCTCACTTCACTTCGGACCCCATCCATCCCATCCTCCTATCACCATTCCAACAGCTTACATCACATCCATCGAAAGCACATTCGATCTCCCATCACTGCCCTCTCAAGCACATCAGCCTGGATCCGAGTAAACATGCCTATACCAGAACCCGGTCCGAGCACTGCGTCAACCCCCTCATCCTCGTCCTCACCCGGGGCGGAGGAATCAAGGTCAGTGAGTGGTGCGTCCACCAACACAAGCTCGGCCGAATCCCCTGCCAGCCGGGTCAATCCTCTTCAGACCATGAGCCAGGGCGGCAGCCGAGCATACTCGCTCGAAGACCTCGGGCTCTTTCTGCGGGGTCTTGACCTGAGGACCCCGCAGAGTTCCGTCGATGCCCCGCGGGTCGACTACCCGCAGGATATGGCCTCCCATACATATGATGAAGAGAATGCCCTTCAAGCTGAGATCACAGATGCAGATGACGCTTGGCTAGTCCAAGATGAGGATCCGCAGCATGATATGCTGATGATCAGAGTCGATATTGTGATGGCTCATTTGAGAAACATGCTCCTGGCGATTGTGGATGGTCAACGAAGCCGACATAAGCAAGCGCTCCACAAGTCGGCCAAGAGACTCGAAGAGCAGACCAGGATACAACTCTTCGTGGAAAATAAGTTGCGTGAAACAATGCACAGCAAATTCGAGCTTCAGATGGAATTAGACGAGGCCATCAAGAAGAAAGACAAGCTGCAGGAGAGACTGAACACTTGCGAGCAGAAAACTGAATATCTGCAGGTTCAGCTTGCTCAAGCTAACGCAACCAATCAACAAACCCTGGACCAACTCCTAGCGAGATTGCACGCCACCCAGAAGCAGGTGACAAGGCTACAAGCTGAGCGAGAGGAACTGCTTAGGGTACTCGAGCTGTGCAACGCTAAAAATGAGATCAATGAGCGGGATCGGAGATGGCGTGGACAGGCGGCATTACATTAATGTCACAGATGCTCATACATGAGTAGAAGGATCTGGTTTCATTACAGATCACTAGTTACAGAAAAAGCAAAAAAAGAAAACAATCATAAGATGATATCCACAACTCTCACAGAATGACATCCATACAACGCATCCCTCCTAGATTGTATATTCCCCTACCACCCCCGAGACTTCCACTGCCCAGCATCTTCGACGCCCTGCGCAACCTTGCGGGCCCCATCCTCGACGCCACTTCCGATATTGCCCAAAGCATCACCCACGGGTTTGCCCGCACTGCCTGTTGCGCCGGTGATGGTGTCTCCGATTCCTCGGCCTGCAGCTCCGGTGACGCCGCCTACGGTCCGAGAAACTCCGCCAACCGTATTTCCGAGAGTGGAGGTGACAAACTTCGCCGCGCCAGTGACTCCGGAATCTTGGGAGGAAGGCATCTTGTGGTTTGGTTGTGGCGGTTCGTGGGAGAGTTTATGGTTTGGTGGGGATTTGGTTCGGATATGCGGCAAGAAAAGCCCAGTGTATAGAAGTGGAGTATGAAGTATAGAGTAGGAGGTTTATTTGTATTCTTCGAACGTTGATTAGTGATGTTGTAGGAGAGGAGTCTACCACGCGCACGTCAAATCTACGGAGATTTATATAAGTTAAGTGTATGTGTCTAAGTAAATGATCGTGGCCAATCTTGTGACGTCATGGCTGGTGTGGCTGTCGATCTAACCCGATCCGGAATCGAAACGCGTCAACACCGGATTCGCAACCACTCGCGGCATCTTTTCCTCTACCACACCAGAACTTACTCCCATACTCTCATTTGGCCATGTTCAAGATCTCAAGGATCCCCTCCTTATCTGGTAGCGCCTTATTATGCGCCAATGCGTCAGTCAGCGTCAGCTCGGCGATCTTGTGCAACTGCTCCTCCTGCGTGACGCCGACTTCCGAGAGCCGTGATGGCAGTCCCAGCAGCTTGACGAACCGATGAACCGCATCAGCAGCCTCTGCCTCGTGGCACCCAAGCACCTCGTTGAATATCTGGAGAATCGCCTCCTGCGCCGCTTTAGTCTTATCGAGCGTGAATCGTAACGTCGGAGGTAGCAGAATGCAGCTCTCGGCAAAAGTCAGTATGCGTCCTACAGCAAGGAATGGGGCGGAACTTGACGCCGGCTTACCGTCACACCTATCGGCAATGATTAGCTCATCAGACTTGAAGGCTTGAGGAAACAAGACAAAGATTGAACTCACCATGCTGGACGCCTGCCACACTGCCCTACGGTGGCAATCATCGATCAGCAAGCTCTTCTATCCAGCAGGGTGCCAACCAAACTCACCAGCTGATGGCCAATAGCGTGACTTGCTCCCATAGGAATCTTCCACTTGATAAAAGGAATCAGGGCATCTCTAGACCCGCGCTGACTCTCTGCAATCCCTTTTAGCAGCTCGTCCTCGTTGCCATCCTCTTGTCCTTCGTGGTACTCCTTCAGGCCTCGCACCAACAGCGGCAACCCCTTCTTGATATGAGTCGCAGCCTCTTCATGACACTCGGAGCAGCAGAAACTCTCCACAAAGTGGTCGATGGCGCGCATGCCCGACGCCAGCCACAGGTGCGACGGGGTGGTTCGTGCGACCGTGGGATCCATCAGGATCAAGGACGGGGCCCCCTCCGGATGCATATAATGTTGTTTCTTCCCTGTGGCATTGGTCCCGCTCGCATAGGAGTTCCACTCGCCCGCACTGAGGCTCGTTGGCACACAGATCAGCTTGGTCACGGGAGCCTTGACGGTGTCCGGTCCAGCCAGGCCTCGCTTCTGGTCCACCAAGGCTTCCATTTCGTCCTCCCCAAATCCCGAGGGGAGTGTAGCACTCAGCATCACGGCGATTTTGCACGCATCCGAGTAGGACCCCGACCCAATAGAGACAACGGCTTGGATGTCACGGTCTTGGACTCTGCGTGCGATGTCGATAATGTCACCGTAGGGCGAGTGACTGCCCACTCCGACTTTTTTGTAAACCTGGTAGCTTGATAGGCTCTTCTCGAGGTCGCGGATGACCGAGGTCTTCGTGTCGAGGCTGGTGCTGACGACGAGAAGGACGCGCGACGCTTTCCACTCGGTCAGGGCGGCTGGGATGTCATCCAAGTAGGAGGCCTCGAAGATGGCATCGTGGCCATCGCAACCTTCGATGTCGAGCTGTTGGATTCTCTCACGCATTGTGGATGCAGAACATGTGCAGTAGTGAACGAAAGTCAGCCTGCGTACATATGATTGTTTCCATGCCTGGATTTTGTTCTCTGACAGGCGGGATGGCGGGGTCATCGCTGACCCCCGCCGGTGGAGCTGCAGGAATGCCGACTTTCCCGCTCTTATCACCCCTTGAGGGATAGCCCCAACGATGATCTCGCCTCAATGCCAATGCCATTCCTTGTGTGATTGAACTGTGCGTGGATGCAGTTTCTCATTGCCTGCCATGCTGCAATCCTTGTTCAATCCTGCAAAATCGCCCGTCGGCAATACCACGGCCGCAGCTCGCACTGCTGCAGCGTTCTAGACCGGGGCTTACAAATGCCGGGCCTGGGGCTCCTGTTCAACAACTGATGGAAGGTGGGCCTCGATGATCTGCGTAGTTACCAGCAGATGAACCTGGCTAGTGCCTTGCTTGACTCGTGGTCTACCAAGAATATCTGAGCGATGATGATTACCACTGAAGGATTGCGTGTCTATGCTTATCTAGCCTTACTATAGCTGCGAGACCCATGCAAACTTGGTTCACCATGTGCTTGGATGATCGACTTACCACAGGGATACCAGCCCGCCAATGAGTCTGTCTCTATTTCACCCCGGGGTTTAATCGGCGGAGAACCTGGAATGGGCCACACAACCCTGTTTCGGGGGTTGAGAAGACGCCCGCATGAGAGGGAGACGAGGATCGGATGGATGGGTTGTAATGAGTTCTTAGGGCTGGGTTGTCAGAGTGACGTCTCCCGCTCCCCTCACAACTCACGTCATGGTTACAACACCACAGCTCCCTCTCTTTCTCTCTTTTCCCCCCGCACAACCATCCAAGTCTTGATTGAATGTCACCAACCAGATGCTTCCAATTACCCACCACTATCCATGGCGGACCGCGCCAAAGGCAGCCTGGTGGGTTGCCAGGCGCTTTAATTACAGCCATGTCCCCGCGACCTGAGGATTCGCCCTTCTCCCACATACTCTAAAGTGCAATCAACCCTCACTTGCCTTTCCACATCCATCATGGCCAGCATCGTCGCAGGAGGCCTTGAGCGCGCCCAAGAGGCCGTCAAGAGCGCCTCCAACAAGAACAAGAAGGCCGTAGACCTCGAGCGTGACATGGTCGATGTCACCACCGAACAACGCCAAACCACCGACCACGGCGTCCCTATCAGCAACACCGACAATTGGCTGAAGGCCGTCGATGGCGATCACACGGGTCCCTCTTTGCTTGAGGATCAGATCGCCCGTGAGAAGGTAGATTGATTCTACCTTCGCACTTTGACCTGAGTTTGGTTACTGACAAAGCACGCCACCAGATTCACCGATTCGACCATGAGCGCATTCCCGAGCGAGTCGTCCACGCGCGTGGCACTGGTGCCTTCGGAAACTTCAAGCTCCTCGAGAGCTGCGAGGATGTCTCCTACGCTAACATCCTCAATGACACGTCCCGCAACACGCCAGTCTTCGTCCGCTTTTCCACCGTCCAAGGCAGCAAGGGCAGTGCCGATACTGTCCGTGACGTTCGTGGCTTCGCCGTGAAGTTCTACACGGACGAGGGCAACTGGGATATTGTTGGCAACAACATCCCCGTCTTCTTCATTCAGGAATCCATCAAGTTCCCCGATTTTGGTATGTCAATTCCGCCTTCGGTTGAACCAACCCCACTAACAGGCCCAGTCCACGCCGTCAAGCCCGAACCGCACAACGAAGTGCCCCAGGCGCAGACCGCACACAACAACTTCTGGGACTTCTGCTACCTCCACCCCGAAGCCACGCACATGTTCATGTGGGCCATGTCGGACCGTGCCATCCCCCGCTCCTATCGCATGATGCAAGGTTTCGGCGTGAACACCTACTCCCTCATCAACAAGGAGGGCAAGCGCCACTTCGTCAAGTTTATCTGGACCCCACACCTAGGTGTCCACTCTTTCGTCTGGGACGAGGCCCTGAAGCTGGCTGGCCAGGACCCTGACTTCCACCGCAAGGATCTGATGGAAGCCATCGACAACGGCGCCTACCCCAAGTGGGACCTGCAGATCCAGACCATTCCCGAGGAGAAGCAGGACGACTTCGAGTTCGACATTCTGGATGCCACCAAGATCTGGCCCGAGGACCTCGTCCCGCCGCGCACGATCGGCGTCCTCGAGCTTAACCGCAACGTCGATGAGTTCTTCCCGCAGACCGAGCAGGTCGCCTTCTGCACCTCGCACATCGTGCCCGGCATCGACTTCTCCGACGACCCGCTCCTGCAGGGCCGCAACTTCTCCTACTTCGACACGCAGATCAGCCGCCTCGGCATCAACTGGGAGGAGCTGCCCATCAACCGGCCGGTGTGCCCGGTGCTCAACCACAACCGCGACGGCGCCATGAAGCACCGCATCACCAAGGGCACGGTCAACTACTGGCCGAACCGGTTCGAAGCCGGCAAGCCCGACGGGGCGGCGCCACACCACGGCAAAGGGTTCGAGTCGTACCCAGCGCCCGTCACGGGCCGCAAGCGCCGCGGCCTCAGCCCCAAGTTCCGGGAGCACCACAACCAGGCGCAGCTGTTCTACAACTCGATGAGCGAGCATGAGAAGCTGCACATGATGAAGGCGTTCAGCTTCGAGCTCGACCACTGCGACGACCCGGTCGTCTACGACCGCCTGGCCGGCACGCGGCTGGCCGAGATTGACCTGGGGCTGGCCCAGCAGGTCGCCGAGCTGGTCGGCGCCCCGATCCCGGACAAGGCGCTGCGGCCCAACCACGGCCGGCGCACGATCCGCCTCTCGCAGACCGAGTTCCCGCCCAAGGAGCCCACCATCGCCAGCCGCCGCATCGCCATCCTCATCGGCGACGGCTACGACCCCGTCGCCTTCAAGGCCGTCCAGCTGGCCGTCAAGGCCGCCAGCGCCCTCCCCTTCGTCATCGGCACCAAGCGCTCGCCCATCTTCGCGGAGGGTGAATCCAAGGAGACGGGCCAGGGCATCGTGCCCGACCACTACTACGACGGCATGCGCTCCACCATGTTCGACGCGACGTTCATTCCCGGCGGTCCCCACGTCGAGACCCTCCGCAAGAACGGCCAGATCAAGTACTGGATCGCCGAGACCTTCGGCCACCTCAAGCCCCTGGCGGGCACGGGCGAGGCCGCCCAGCTGATCAAGGAGGTCGTGGGCAGCGTGCTGGACGTGCAGGTCGCGACCGCCGAGAACCCTGACCCCGTGGAGTGGTACGGTGTGGTGACCGCGGGTGGCGTGCAGAAGCCCGAGAGCATCAGCGAGACGATCAAGATCCTGAAGGATGGGAAGGACTTTGTGAGCAAGTTCTTCTACCAGGTCAGCCAGCACCGCAACTACCAGCGCGAGCTGGATGGGTTGGCTTCGACGGTTGCGTTCTAAGGATGAGAATTGAGATAATAGTGGCTTACATCTGGAGTTGCGGGACGTATTCTTGGACATGTGTATGGCTAGTATGTTAATAATTTGTATGCATTAATGATATCGATTCGATTGATCCTGAGTTGCTGCTCTATGCTTTTGTTTGTAAAAGGAGGTGTATCGTTTAAAAAGTACGCCTTCTATTGACGCCTACTGCTAAAGAGAAAAACAAGTACCCCTACATAGCTTACGGAAGTAACATAGTATGCCGACGGCAGCCGTCTATGAGCATCAGCAGCATAGAGCAGTACGTGCAACAAATATAAGTGACAACAAGAGATCATCCAATCCAACTAATACAAGTGATAAAATAAACGCTCTCCCTGTTTACCACCGGGAACAGCCACCACGCCAAGCCAGCCCACGGCGACCAGGCAAAAAGATATGACAAGAGTGGGATTCGAACCCACGCCATCAAACGATGATCAGGAAGCTTGTGAAAGCTGTTTGCTAAGGTGACCTTAACCTGACGCCTTAGACCAACTCGGCCATCTTGCCTTGATGTGTTACTGGCTGGGTTTTTGCGTATAAGACGCCTTCAAATATACAGTCTAGGTGGAAGACGCGCCAACTTCTGGTGGACCTGGTGATCACTTTAGAGGTGGTTTGGGTGCTGAGTATAGTATCAAATATTCTCCTGTGGGCTTAATTATTATGTCGTTGAACTTTTAGACCGTTATGAGGGTTGTTGGTGGTCAGTGTTTGTGCGGATCGTCCGAGCTGCTCACGGGATATATTCATCGCACGACCGTTGCCGGTGATGCTGCGAGGGGAACCTGAGAAGTTCATTATTGCGACAGACAAGACCCGGAGACTAGATGGCTAGCTCCAAGACACACTCGAATGTAGAATTGGGACCATGCAACAAAAGCCAGAAGCATTGGTAGAAGTCATCACTGCAACCGAGGGAGATTGGACAAGAATAAGAAGGGAGACGGCGGCACCCACCACCTCAACCTCAAGTTCAGGTTGATTCCATCGACAATAACTCGAATCCACATCTGAGTCGACGTGCTCCTCTCATTCACCCAAGCCAGAGCCGAATTATGCACTCACTCCGTAGCAGAACCCAGTGGGCAAATCATAAGCCACCAACCCAGCCTAGTCCGCAGCACCCATGAAGTCATCCTCATGTCAACATCCCTCAACCCTAGTATATAGCCAGCTGCCCAGCTCCTTCCACTCAACACCCACCCACATCTACCAAGCATCACAGACTCAACTACACCCCACTACACCACCGCACATTACACCACACACACACACATCAGCGCAGCAAAATGTCCCTCCCAACCTTCGGCCTCCGCCGCATCGCCCTCACCCACACCCGCCTCGCCCAGCGTAAGCCCGCCCAACCGCCCCAAGCTCTATAACTACCTAACACAAACAGGATCACCCACCACCCCAGCCGCCCCAGCAATTAGATCCCTCGCAAGCAAAGCCTCCCCCGGCCATACCTCCAACGTCGCCAACCCGCAGTCCAGCAGCCCGGAATCGCAGTCCATCAACGTCGCCCGCGGCAAGGAGGCGCGTCATGCCGACACCCCCGACACGGCGTCGGTGCAGTCGCCCATCTCATCGCAGTTCGGCCCGACGAGCGAGGCCCACGAGGGAGAGGAGCAGACGTCCGCGGACGCGCAGATCAAAAACCACCCGGGGGAGTCTGAAGCGACTAAGCGACGGAATGTGGAGAGGGCGGGGGAGAGGCCTCTTGGGGCGGAGGATCGGCAGTGATTTCCCTCTTTGTTCTGTATATATGGGAAAGTAGGAAAGGGGGCTGGTTGTATGATGGTTTTTGATTGTGGGTGGTAGATGTGGATAGATGGGGTTGAGGGGGTTCTAAGGTCGGATGTACGTGTTTTTGTACAATACAGCTATAAGATCAATAAGAGGACCTTTATCTACGAATTATCTTGAATTCGGTGATTAGAATAGGGAAAAGTAATTGTTTCATGATCGATAAACCCGGAATCTGCACGGTTACTTCATTCAGCATGGCCATGGCGTGGGTCCCAACCTGGACCGAGACCACGCTCGGCCCCGATTAGGGTTGTGGGGAGCCGTCGTAGGCTCTGACGGCGCGATGACGGCACCAGATCCCCCTATCCCCCTGCTTGACCCTAAGGTCCCTCCCTAACCACGCCATCGCAGATCTCCCCATCCAAGATCCTGTCGCCATTCTATGTCATCTTCACCTTGCGTCGTGATGACCCGCTCCTTCGTTTCCTGGCCCATGAATCAAGATCAAAATCAAATAGAATAACAACCGTGCCGATTGTAGAATTCCACATAGAAGATACTGTACTCATAACTAGACTCCCGCCTCAACACTAGCCACCATCCACCATCCACCATCCACCACCAACCACCCTTCTACCCATCGCCCACCCAACGCAACAGAAACAAGAAAAATGGCAGATAACCTGGACTTCCCCAAGTCCCTCACCCTCAAAGACGCAGGCGGCAGCAGTGTACGCCCCTTCCCCATTCCCTTATCCCCAACGAACACAACACAAACCCCCGTTAGGTGCACTATAACCCCTCCACCAACCTAACAACCACAAAAAGTCCCAAGGCTCCCGGCCCACCCAACAAGACCAATACACCATCCTCCGCCCCGACGCCTTCGAAAGCAAAACCGACCAACTCGCGCTCTTCGCGGTCTACGACGGCCAGTACGCTCCCGTCCCCCTTCCCTTCCATCTACATCCACTCCCCACCCACTAACGGGGAAACCAGCGGATCAAGTAAAGTCGCCAAGCACGCCCGCGACAACCTCCCCTGTTTCCTGAGGCACAGTCCCGATCTACAAACCGGGGACTACGAGAAGGCGATCGCCGAGGCCATCCGGCGCGAGGAGGAGCAGCTGCTGCATGAGTTCTGGGAGGGGGAGGACAAGCATGCGCTGGCGGGGACGACGATGGCGCTGGCGGTGGTGAATCTCACGCGGGGCGTGCTGGTCGTGGGGAATGTGGGGGATTCGGATGTGTTGTTGGGGGAGGAGGGGGCTGAACAGGGGCTGGAGGTTGTATGTTCTCACCCGGAATTCTGGAATCTAGGAAAGGGTTGGTGCTGACGAGAGCAGACCAGATTATCGACGACGCATACACCCGAGAGTGACGGGGAGAAACACCGGGTCGAGTTGGCGGGCGGGACGGTGAATACGGAGAGTGGGACGGCGCGAGTGGGTGAGTTTCTCTGGCAGTTTCGCTGGAACGAGATCTTGAACGACAACTGACCGCACCAGGCGCGCTGAACATGTCCCGCGCGTTGGGCGACCTGCGCTACAAAAACCCCCTCAACAACATGACCCAGCGAGCCAAAAGTGGCAGCGGCACTTCCGAAGGAGAGACTCCCGGCGCCAACGACTCCCCCGCGCAGCGCGGGGACTTCATCTCCAGCGAGCCCGCCCTCAACCGCGTCAACCTCCGCGACGATCGCCGCTATGTGCTGGCCCTGCTGTCGGATGGCGTGACCAATGTGTTGGATGACGCGACCATCCTCCACCGCATCGCCGAGCTGCGGCAGTCCGGGTTCGACGCGACGCGGGCGGCGCAGAATATTACCGAGGGGACGACGGCGTTGCCGGGTAGTGATAATGCGACCTGTGTGACGGTGTTCTTGGAGGGGCCGAAGGTTGGGCAAGCATGACTTGAGGGTGCTGGCGATGTGGTGAGGTGGTGAGGTGGGCGGGGTGTGTATATTAGACAGCATGGCATTGCGTGCATGTAGAGCATTAGTAGCATTCTATAGGACCCTCCGGATGCGATTAGATAGGTGGGATATTAGACAGTACCGATTACAAGGAGGGGTTCAATGCACTGCAACATGGATGAGATAATGAATCATGGATCTAGATCCCTCAGCGACCAATCATCGTCCCCGGAGGCGATAGCCGAGGCGATCAGTGTGGCCCCGTCACGATGAGATCAGCCTATACCAGAGAACCAGGGCCAGTAGCACCACCCCATGTTCACGCCATGCTTAGCACGCAGGAGACAAGATATATTATCCCGCGATGTAGCTCGGTTGGTAAAACTCAGAGTCAAGGAGAATCCAATTGCACCCACAATGTTCGAAAACATCGTCACCCCCCAGCTGAGGAGCAGGCCGCAGCGCCCTACACCCACCTTCGGCCCATTGGCCACGAGCAACATCCTCGATATTCGGACGGACAAGAGTGAGACCCAGCTCCGCCAGTCGCTGCAAGAATCCGTCCACGCCGCGTGCCATGGACAGGCCGCCATGCCCGACCTGCTCCTCTGGGACGAACAGGGGCTGCGCTTCTTCGAGGAGGTGACCTTCTCCCCGGCCTATTATCTGACCAATGAAGAGGTCGGGCTGTTGGAGAAGCACAAATACCAGATCGCGGAGCATATCCCGCCTGGAAGCATGCTGGTGGAATTGGGTAGTGGGTGAGTTGCACTGTGGGTCGTCAGAAGAACAACGACACTGACGCAGTCAGCAACCTCCGCAAGGTGAAGATCCTCCTCGACGCACTCGACGAACTAGGCCGCGAGGTCGACTACTTCGCCCTGGACGTCTCCTTCGCCGAGCTGCAGCGCACGCTGAGCATGGTCCCGCCGGGGATCTTCCGGCACGTGCGGTGTTTCGGGCTGCTGGGGACCTACGACGACGGCCGCGAGTGGCTGCAGCGATCGGACCTCCGGTCCCGGCCGAAGACCATCCTGTCTCTGGGCTCGACGCTGGGGAGTTTCCCGCGAGCGGATGCTGCCGGGTTTCTGGCGAGCTTCGTGCATGCCCATGATGGTAAGGGGAGCAGCCCGTCCTTTTTGATCGGGCTGGACGGGTGTAAAGAGCCGGCACGGGTGCTGACGGCGTACAACGATCCCGAGGGAGTAAATCGTCGGTTCATCAAGCATGGATTAGAGCGGGCAAATGAGATCCTCGAGCACGAGGCATTTGCGCTCGATCGCTGGGATGTGGTGGGGCAGTGGAACGCGGAGAACGGCAGCCACGATCAGTTCTATGTTTCCACTGGGGAGGTGGAGCTGGCCAACAAGAGAGTCCAAGCGGGGACGCGCATTCGAGCAGTGCAGAGCCACAAGTACGATGGCGATGATCGAACGGCGCTCTTTGGGAGGGCCGGTTTAGAGGAGGTCGATGCGTGGGCATCGGGGAGTCAGTATCGTGAGTGCAGCCTCATTTTGAGCGAACCAGTGCTGACTGTTGGATAGACTTACTGTTTTTGAGCCACCGATAGAGATAGACCAGGGGGTTGAAATAAAGATGATAGATATAATTTCACCTAATGTAATGATTCTACTTGTGCATTTCACAATGATACCTGCAGAACTTGGCTGTCTGGTCGGCCGGAGAGATGCAACTATGCAAACATGCAACTATGCAAACATGCAACTATGCAAACAGACCAAACCTATGACGACAGGTCGAATCAAATGGGACAAACAGCAGCAACAGTGCAAACACCCCGCCTCGGCCAATCAGGGCATCCCCGCATTCTCGAAGGATGCTTTGCAAACATCACAATCTCACGCTGCTGTTTGATTCTAGCGAGGGATTCGGAGTATATAACAGTACCCAACAGCATCGGTTGCCTGGATAAAATGGGATCCAAAGCACTCAGTCACTACAAAGCCCTCAGCTCTCATTCCTATACGTATATTGACCTTAATCCCAGTTTACGTTGCATATCTATCACCATATACTGAACTCAGCTACCACCATGCCCCCCCACCCAGCCCTAACCCAGCCCACGATCCTCCCCCCCGCCCTCCGCCCCGGCGACACCATAGCGCTGGTCTCCCCATCCGCCCGCCTCAACAGCATCCTGCCCACCCCCCTCCACCGCGGCCGCTGCTTCCTAGAATCCCTAGGCTTCCGCGTGCGCATCATCTATACCCCCTTCCCAGAACCCAGCAGCATCGCCGACTCGATCCGCATCCGCACGGCGGAGCTGCACACGGCCTTCGGAGACCCGACCATCCAGGCCATCATCTGCACCATCGGCGGGCAGCACGCCAACGAGCTCCTGCCCCACCTGGACTACGCGCTCATCCGCGCAAACCCCAAGATCTTCGTCGGCTACAGCGACACCACCTTCCTGCATTATGCGCTCGAGTCGCGCGCGGGCCTGCGCACCTTCTACGGGCCCAGCCTGCTGACCGACTTCTCCGATGTGCAGCCGCTGCCCTTCACGGTGGAGCATCTGCTGCATGTGCTGACGGGCGGCAGTGGGGCGGTGGGGCCGGTGCCGCGATCGCTGCGCTGCGCTGTGGAGCATAATGATTTCCAGTTCGGGCGGGATGCCTCGGTCGAGCCGCGGGTGACGGTGCCCTCGCCGGCGTGGCGGTGGGTGAGACGGGGTCGTGCGGAGGGGAAGCTGTACGGTGGCACGGTGCATATCGTCGAACGGCTGCAGGGGACGGTGTTCGCGCCGTCGTCGTGGAAGGACCATGTTCTGCTGCTGGAGTCGGCCATGGGGCTCGATACGATCGAGCGGCCGTACTCGGTGGCCCGGTTTCGGGGGAACTTGGTGGATTTAGCGTTGTCCGGGGTGCTGGGGGAGATTAGTGGGTTGGTGGTCGGAAGGGGGTATAAGTATGATGAGCGGATGCAGGAGGAGTTGGCGGCGGTGATTGTGGAGGTGTTGGACGTGGTGGTGGGCAGGAAAGATGAGCTGCCTGTGTTGATGAATGTGGATGTGGGCCATACCAGTCCGTTTGTCACGTTGCCGTTTGGGGCGAGGGTGAGGCTGGATTCGGAGAGGGATGAGTTTGTCGTCTTGGAGGCGGGGGTGTCTACAAGTACAGTACCTAGTAGTTAGTCTGGATATACTGAAGTAGGCGGTTTCGGTACATATGAGGATCATTTCTATGAGTGAATAGTATTTCTTTAAAACTGTATACTGTCTGTTTAGAGTAACACCTCCCGGCCATCATCCTTACATCATCCCCGCACGCGGAGATCATCGCCTTCCACCACCTCTTCATTCCATCTACAACATATCTCTTCTCGAACACAACCACAACTAACCAACTACAACAACAGCAACATGGACGTTCTCGACTTCCTTCACAAGATAGCTGACGACCTGCTGGCCCGGGTCAAAATGGTATGTCGTCCTCTCACCCTTCCGTATCTAAACTCAGCACACTCACACTGACCTCTCAGATCCAAAACCGCCAAGTCGGATGGCTCACCATCAACCGCAAGGTCCACCAACCCCGGTCACCATCTCTACTGCCTCAAACAAAGCTAAAGCTAACAAATCCAGACTGGCCAGCTCATACGCGAACAACAACCGCTCTGGAAGAAACTCAAACTCCTCCTGCTGTTCAACCCGCTCACCGAATGGCTGGACACGACCCACCTGATGCGCTTATACATGCACCGCGAAGCGGTCAAAGAGGGTACATCCATCCTCGACCCCCCTACACTCCCATACTAATCCCCCCCAAAGGCCAAGAAGAAGCCACCCCGACCTCGCGCAACCGCATCGCCGCCTTCATCGCCTTCTACCACATCGACATGACCCAATTCGACCCCTCCGATATCTCCGCCTACGCAAACTTCGAAGACTTCTTCGTGCGCGCGCACCGACCCGGCTCGCGCCCGATCTTCGAGCCCGACAACCCCCGGACGGCAGTCGTCGTGGCCGACAGCCGCGTCGTGGCCTACGAGTCCGTCGCGGAGAGCCAGAAGGTGTGGATCAAGGGGTGCGAGTTCTCGATCACCAACCTGGTGATGGACCGGCGGCTCGGGGGGCAGTTTGACGGCAGCGCGATCGCGAGTTTCCGTCTCTCGCCGCAGGATTACCACCGCTTTCATTGTCCGGTGAGGGGGACGGTGAAAGTGCATCGGAGTATGCCCGGGGATTACTATGAGGTGGATCCGATCGCGTTGCGGAGTGGGGTGGATATTCTGACGAGGAATGCGCGGGATTATGTCGTGGTGGATAGTGAGGAGTTCGGAGAGGTGTTGTTCGTGGCGATCGGGGCTGCGCAGGTCGGGACTGTTAGGTTTGTGTCCCTGGTGGTATACCCTGTGCGGTGGTATAGAGGGAGTGAGGCGAGGCGATGCTAACATGGGGCTGGCAGGATCCACGAGCGGTTCCAGCAGCCTGGGGCCCGGATCGAGAAAGGCGAAGAGCTGGGCCATTTCCAGTTCGGGGGGTCGTCGATCATCATCGCCTTCCAGCGGGAGCGGATCGTCTTCGACGAGGATCTGCTGCGGGCCAGCAAGAATGCCATTGCCACCGATGTGGAGGTGGGCATGAGTCTAGGGCGGGCGGTGGAGAAGGCGTGATCTGTTCTATTTGATACTATATCCGACGAATTTGATACCAAGAGCGAGCCCAGCAGGTCTATGTCTATGCATTTATCTCTATCTATGCTTAATTCTTCCCATTCTCACCCCCACTACCCTTCCCCTCCGCCAACGCCCGCACATCGCGCGCCACCTCCCTCAGCGCCCGCATGGCCGCCTCGCTCCACGGCGCCATCTGCAAAAACCCATGACACAGCTCCTCATAGTGCCGCCACACGACCGCATTCCCCGCGGCCTGCAGCTTGGACGCGAACTCCACCCCGACATCCCGCAGCGGATCGAACCCACACGTATACACCTTGGCCGGCGGCAGCCCCTGCAGCTGGGTTTGGGGCTGCATGCCCGGGGAGATATACCGACTGGACGGCGCCACCCCATCGGGGATATAGTTGGCCGCGAAGTTGAAGATCCCGTTACCTAGGTGCCCGTGTTAGCTGCCAGCCCTAAATCCAATCAGCCCATACACTTTAAAGGGAAGAACCTACAATCCAGATACAACCCCGCCCCATCATTATTCTCCACCGCCGCCGGCGTATCGAACGGCAGCCGCGCCTCGGGATACAGCAGCACCAGCCCATCCAACCCCTTTTGGTGTCGGTCTATCCGCCGCAGCGACACAGCGGCCGTCATGTTCCCGCCGGCGCTGTCCCCGCCCCCGAAGATCCGGTCCGGGTCGACGTGCCGCGCCTGTCCGCCCTCTCCCCGCAGCCAGTCGATCACCGCGTCGTACTCGTCCAGCTGCGTCGGGTAGGGCCACTCCGGTGCGAGGCGGTACTCGACCAGGTAGATCTGGATCCCGGCGGATTCGGCGAGCAGGCGGCAGCCTGGTTCGAAGTCATCGGCGCTGCCGACGGTGTAGCCGCCCCCGTGGAAGTAGATTAGGGCTGGGGTCAGGTTGTGCGGGGTTGGGCTGGCGGTTTCGGGTTGGCGGTGCGGGGTCGAGGCCGGGCGCGACGGGTACAGGATGCGCAGTGGGATGGTGCCGTGTGGCCCGGCGGGGATGGCTGTGTGCTCAACGTGCAGGATTGAGGGCTGTTTTGCTTCGGGGATGTTGCGTAGGCTGAAGGTTTGGACGTGGTGGCGTCGTTCTTGGAAGATGTCGCGGCCGGAGAGTCGCAGGTTCGGGTTTTGCGTGAGGAAGGCTTGCACTTCGGGGTCGAGGCTGCTGCGGGAGGCAGTTTGGGGGATCATTTTGTGGGAGTCACGGTTGGCAGATGCAGTGGTGAGAAGGGCGTAGGGTTGGGATTTGGGGGGGGGGGGGGGGTAATGAGGGTTGAGGATGGGTCAGGTGGTGGTTGCTTGTTTATATGCTTTCAATTAGGGTATAGATCTGGTGGAGCCGGTGAAATCAACCCAACGTCATTGTTCCGGAAGCAGCGGACATACAGTACAATACTTGATCCTAGCACAGCATTACCCTACTCGTTCAATCATAAATTCAAGATAAATCATATCCCATCCCCATCCTCGCACTACTCCTTCTCATCCGCCTGCTCCCCCCGCACCGGCAACCCTGCCGCGCGATACAACCGATCAATGCACTCCATCTGCCAGATACTCTCCTCGCCAGGGATCCAATACGTGGGCGTCTTCCCGCGCACCGCATCGACAAACGCCTCCAGCTGCCACCGATACGTACTCCACGCCGACTGGCCCCCGCGCGCCCCGTCGCTGGTCGTCACGTTGCCCCACAGCGGGCCCCCCTGATACTGCCGGTGATACTTGGTCTTCCCCGTCGTCTTGTCCGTGATGGCGATGTAGTGGTACAGATGCGGCATCATCGCGTTGTAGAAGAAGATGATCGCCTTGTCCGTCTCCACCTCGATCGACGGCAGCTCCCAGAACCGCGGCACCAGGCCCCCCACCGCCCACGCCCGCGCCATGTCCGTGTAGATCCGGCTGTGCACCTCGCCGCCCTGCGCGTCCTCGAAGGTCAGGTAGGCGTACATCGCCTCGTCGACGCGGGGGTCCGCTGCGGAGCGTCGCGCGGTGACGGAGTGGATGGTCTTCGGTAGTTGGCTGCGCAGCGCGTAGCGCGTGAAGGAGAGCGCGTACGTCATGTCCATTGCGGAGCCGCCTGCTTTTCTGTTAGTATGCAGTGACCAGAACAGAAGAACAAAGAAGAGGGCAAGGAGAGTGCATACCAGCGAGATCATACTGCCACCGGATATCCCCCTTCGGTACCCCAGGACTGGCGGTCATGATGGCCTCGGTGCGGATGATGCGGCCGTACTCGCCGGATTCGAGGATGTGGCGGAAGGCGTGCGCCGCGGGGTGGAATTGCCAGTGGAACTGCGTTGGAATTAGTATATGCTGCATCGATAGTATACAGTGCATGCGGATTCTTGAAAGAGCGAACGCACCGCTTCCTCAATCGTCACCCCCTTCTCCTTGGCCTGGTCGATCAGCGCGCGGGCCTCCTCCGCGTTCGAGGTGAAGGGCTTCTCGCAGAGGACGTGCTTCCCCGCCTGGATCGCCTTGGCCGCCCATTCGTAGTGCAGCCCGTTCGGAGTCGAGATGTAGACGATGTCGACGGCCGGGTCGTCCAGCAGCGCCTGGTACGAGTCGTGCGACCGGGTGAAGTGGTACTGCTTGGCGGCGTGGGCGGCCGTCGCGGCGTCGCGCGAGGCGATGCTGTAGAGGATCACGTCGGGGTGGGTTTCGACGGGGTGGATGACTGCGTAGATTAGTATGGGGGGGATACGAAGGGGTGGGGATCTGGTGAGGGCGTACCAGCTGCGGCGTTGATTTGGGCGGAGGATAGCACGCCGAGCTTGAGGGCATTCGGAGATTTCTGCGGCGCGGAGTGCAGAAATGCGCCCAGGTATTGATGGAGAAATGTTGCGCCTTGGAGGACGAGGGCCATGTTGTCTCAGTTTGCGTCCAGTATTAAAGGTAGTAGTTAGTTTTGTCGAGCTGAGAAGAACGTCCCTGAGTTGTTTATGTGAGGTGGGCGGAGAGCGGAGAACGAGAAGGGCGGAGTATCCGTTCGGAGTGATGACGTTGACAGCCCGTCACTCTTGCACTGCTCGATGAAATGCTGTAACTTGCGTCTCTTCCAATCGCATGGATTCATGTAATCACCCAGAAGTGGGCGTGTAGTGGTCTGATTGCAGTCGCAGAGTCCGGATATCCCACAATTGACGGTCGGTTGACGTCTTGTATAGATTCTTTCAGCATGATGCATTCTACCACATTGATTCGGGGTTTGTGTACAGACTTGGACTTCTTGAGGAATCAGTATCGTGCTTCTAGAGTCAGTCAGACTTCTTGGATATACAAGCTGGAACATCTCATCACATTGCAGACATAGCTACTCGGCGATGTTATTTCACTCATTTTATTCATAAGGACATTTTGCATTAAGTGTAGCAGCAGTATATCAATTGGCCGGATGGTGTAGTTGGTTATCACGTATCGTTAACACCGATAAGGTCCTGGGATCGAGCCCCAGTCTGGTCATTGCTTTTTGCTTTTTTGTCTTGGTGTTTTGCCACTCTCACTATCTTATCGCTGGCCGTCCCTGCCACAGAAACCCGTCTTGGTTCATGCCAACTACTTTATGCATCTCTCCTTGTGCGATTGGTGCACCTGTTTAACGGCTGTCCCTAAGACTTGAACCCTCCTTTCGCCCCCACCCGTGAAACATGCTCTTCATCCATTTCGAGAATGGGATCTAATCTCCCCCTCCTCATCTTATCGCATCCAATAGGCACAGCCCTAACCCAGGCGATGCACATCCACTTCCCCCGATCTGGTAACATGCTCGGATCCTGCCCTGATCGTCTGCCCTTCTCAATCTACGTGCGACGTCCGTTATATGAATGAAGCTATGGACCACTCCCCCCTGTTCGCTAGCACCTTTTTTTTCCCATTGATCACAATGGCATCCACACCATTTACAAGCGCCACGCTATAACAATTGTACCAGCCATCACCTCATCTAACCGCCGCAGAGTCTAAGCGCCGACCCTAAAACGGACTTGCAGCTAGAGAAATGAACCCTGCACCGCCCTGCGCTGCCACAGACGGCCTTGACCCTCAGCTCAGCCTTGCACCTTTCTTCCCTTATCATTGTAACCTTCCCCTCTTTTTACCACCTGCATTACCCTTGCGGTGAAACCACAGCAGTAGCATCGGGTTGCCCACCCTCGCAACAACTCCAAGCATGACAACAGTATTCTATCTCTCTCTCCTCGCCCTCCTCACGACGGCCACTTCAGTACAGACGGCAAACACCACTTTCAGCAAACGCGGCTCCGTACTGACAGACCTGTCCGGCGGATTCTGTCGGAGCTATCAGTTCGGCGGTACGCGTCCCCTCCCCATCATCCACGCCACAGTCAACTAAACCAAGTGGTTTGTAGTAAACATCGCCAACGATGTCCTCTACATGGTCGACCTGGATGGCGGCCTAGTCCCCGACGACGGCAATAGTTCCCGTGCGCCCACCCTTCCGGACCCCGGAGGAGAACATTCGGATGTTGATGACAGACAACAGATAACTACATGCTGCAGCTGGACCTGAGCGAGTCGTTTTCGATGAATGATGGCGCAAACTATAAGATGAGTCTGGTGGACGCGCAGATCCCCGTGCTGAAGGATCAGGCGCTGTGGTCTAGTCGGGATAATAGTTCCTTGTTCTTGTATGGTGGACGGCGGGCGAGTAATATCAGTTTGGATGAGAGGGTGTGGAGGTATGGCATCCAGGAAGGGACGTGGGAGGTGCAGGAGACGAGTGCGGTGCCTGTGCGGTATGATGGTGGGGGTGAGTCGCCTCTTTTTCTTCTTGCAAGGGAAGGGGAAGGGTTGGATTGGTTGGTGAGATGAACTGGTGCTGATGGTGTACGACAGTGAATGTCAATGTCCCTGAGTTGCAGAGCGCGTACTGGCTCGGTGGGTATCAGGATTCCTCGACAACAATCGCCATCACCGATAGTCGGCGGGTGTATGCCACCAGCATGGTGGAGTTCAACACAACCACTGGCGAGATCGTGGAGCTCAAGGCCCCCGTGACGCCTGTTCAGGATGGGGCGTTGGTATATATCCCCGTGGGAGAGCAAGGGCTGCTGGTGTTTCTGGGCGGGGAGACGCCCTCGATGGTCAATGGCACGAATGCGACTATGGCCGTGGTGAGAGCAAGCGTCCTTGTAGACGGATACGAGCCCCGCTGACGGACCTCCTGCAGAATAGCTGGAACTATGTCCAGGTCTACGACATTGCCTCCGGCAGCTGGTACAATCAGTCGACGAGCGGCAGCGTGGCCTCGCGCACGCAGTTCTGCGCCACCGTCCAGCACGATCCGTCCTCCGCCTCGTATCAGATCTATGTGCTCGGCGGCGCCGACTATCACTCCCAGGACGTGATCACCGACGTGGACTACCTCTCCATCCCCTCCTTCAAATGGTACAACGCCGCCGGACTCAGCGAAGGCCGGATGACCCTCAGCTGCCAGGCCTATGGAAGGCAGATTTTCGGGGTCGGCGGCCGTCTCGCCTGGGCCGACGATTCAGACGCCGGTTGTTACACCATGCCCGCGTTTGTCTACGATGCGCAGTCGGAGGTGGTTCGGTCGGGGTTTGACGTAGGTTGCCTCAGCTAGACAACTGATACAGTCTGTGCTGACCGGAAGATAGCCCGGGCTGATGACATACTCTCTCTCCTCCGCCACCGCGGCGGACATCAAGGCCTCGCCATACCCCTCCAGTTGGGCCAGTCCAGCATTGATGGAGCTTTTCGTCTCGCAAATCAACACCACATCAGCGACGGCTTCGCCCTCTCCGACGAGCACTAGCGGAGGGGGCTCACAATCACACACAGGAGCCATAGCTGGCGGAGTAGTGGGCGGAGTGGTCGGTCTCGCTCTGCTCCTCGCCTTGGGGTATTTCTTCCTCCGACGGCAGCGCCGGGCTGTGCCTCAAACGGAAGAAAGTCTGCCGGTTGCTGCAGGAAGTTGGGAGAAGGCAGAACTTCCCACCTCGGGGTGTACGGTCAGTGAGGTGTCGGGCGAAGCGGCAGCGAGCGAACTCGAGAGTGAGCAGCTCATGACGCGCCATGAGCTGGCGGGCGGCAACGAACGTGTGTATGAGTTGGATGCGCAGGGGACGGGTCGGAGATGAGGTAAAGGGTTTTAGTTCTTATCAACGACGTTGATATGGTGAGATGTTACACAGGAAGAGGCAGAACTATAGCTGCTGTCAGCTATATGGGGTTGAGTCATAATACTCGTGCTGGCGTGCCACCATATTGTCACTAATAAAAGTTTAGGTTCTTGGTAGAAAGCTATTTATATGTGGCCTAGTGAGGTCTATACCATTTATGTCAACTTGAAATCATCCTTATTCGTTGATATGGCTCTCCAAGTGAGAATCACGGAGGCCTAGAGATAACGACAAAAGTCCGCACACAGATTCCCCAGCCATTCAAAAGTGCTTCGGTTCTGGATCAGGTGCTGGACAAGGGCTGGCCTATGCTTTTTGATATAGCGCACGGCCTTGTGGGGCGATGCCAACCCGATCAGCTTGGGCTCGAGTTCCAGGAGCTCAATCACCTGCTCGTCCGTGTACGGGATTCGACTGTTCGTGGGCCGGCCAAACAGACCGACCAGATCATACCAGCCGAAGCCCAAGTGCATTAAATCGGTTCCATTGACAACCGCCATATACACCAGGGTCGAGCCATCTTCCATCTGATAAAGACTGCGGATTGTTTCATTGTGCGATGCCCTTGCACCATAGGACAGAGCCAGCTTAATTCGTTCCGCGTCACCGGGCAGGGGGTACGCGTCTTGTCCGAAGAGCCACCGCTTCTCTCTCCTGGCCCAGTCCAGCGCAGTCCCGGCATCTTTGCGGTGACGCTTCTTCTCCTTCCAATTCGTTGCATCCAGGTTGGGGTCCGCGCCGTACTCGAGCAGGAGCCGGACGATCGTCGCATCCCGGCCCCCGGCCCCGGTGTACAACGCCCAATGTAGGAGGGGCTTTTTGACACTCGGCCTGGCCCCCGGCCCAACTCGGAGGTTAGGATTGCCCCGGGCTTGCAGATAGTTCTGCACCAGGTTGACTTGGCCCTTTTCGATGGCGTTGTGCAGGCGAGGGTACCGCTTCCATCTATGGGCTTCAGCTTCCACTGCGAATGCTCCCCCCTGGCCATCTTGCCGTATCCTGGCTTCAATGTAGGCGGCTGTTTGTTCCCACTCACCCCCCCAGTAGTTGACAACAACAAGCGCCCAGTCGTGAGCTTCGTGGGCTTGCTTCAGCTCCTGGCTGAACTTGTCCTGTAACCCCTTGCAGGTGCGGCTCAGTCGGCTGAGGGACCGAGCATCCAGGTAGCAGGCATACTGCAGGTGCAGTTCGTCAGGCAGTTTGACCAGAGGGCTAGTTGATGGTTCAGCCATGGCTATGGAATCGTAGGCCTGAGGGTTTGTGGATTGTGACTCGACTACGAGATGATATGTCATTATATATTCTGAGTCGGGGAACCTGGCTCCCAAGATTGTAGAAGTATTCTTCCGAGACACTTCTTTATCTTCAAAACAGCCAAAGGGATACCATCATTCGCATCAAAGACCGTCAGGAGATTCCCGCTAGACTACTGTCGTTTGACCTTTGAACTATTGGGTAGTAGTTGGAGAGATTCTCTTATGGGGGGAGAAAATAAAGGTGTTCATGACAACTTCAATCAACAGGAAAAACTAGACGTAGTAAATAGTTGCTCAAGAAGACATTCAGAACTTCATATAGTGTTGCTACTTGATTACTCCCATTGACTATGAATGCAAGATGTGTATTGTCTGGAACAGATGTACTAAGAAGATCCTATTACTTGCTCGATTGGTACGGTACAAATGGCCAGACATGGTATGACCACATGAAGGAGTTTAGAGTTGGAGTCAGTCATTTCTAACCGGCTGAGGCTCAGGCTATCTGCGAACATAAACTATATGAAGGTCGTCCGTCGAAGAAGGATGGCGGTCGAGCGCCTCCTGATAGATCTCACGCCCTCGCTCCATGATCCATGTGTTGGCCAGGTCGTCAATCCGAGGATGATTGATCACCTCCATGTAAAGCGCGACCGCTGGCTTGTACTCCATGATATAATCAAACGACAATTGCACCGCTTCCTCCTGCAGACTCTGAAGATCAGGCTCTATGGCTTCCAGGCTCACCAAGTACTCCCACAGCCCCGGCGCGTTGAGAATTTGACAATAGCGCTTGCCTCCTTGCCTAGTGATCCACGTGTCTCGCACTTCCCCAAAGCGAGGGTGTTTGGTCTGTTCTAGAGACCGCGCAACCGCGGGCCGGTACTTCATTATATAGTCCGTCGCGGTATAACCCGTGTTATCGTCCAGATCCAGAAGCTCGGGCACGAGGCCTACCAGATCGCACACCTGTTCGGTGCTGAATACCAGACGCGTGGGCCATGACCAACCATCGTCTAGCAGAAGATTCCCGAAGCCATGCACCTCGCGGACCACATCCATACCGTTGGCGATCACCTTACGGACTAGCCTCGAGCCATTTCTACTACCATTGCCGTCATTATCACGATCTCCTCTTCCATGGACACTCCCCGCCTTGTATAACATCGCAAGCACCTTATAGTTCCTTGCAACCCCACCATACGCAAGAGTTAGCTCTAGCCATTCCGTATAGAAGGGGCTCGGATTTAGAGTCAGCCCAGCATCCAGCGCGGTGCGACCAGCAAGACCCATGGCGTTGGGCTGGGCGCCGTTCTCGAGCAAAAGGCGCAGAATGGTGATGTCATCCTGGAAGAATTTTCGGTAGAGCATGAACGAGTGCAGCAGAGGCTCGTCGTAATAGAAGCGCGTCCGAACGGTTGGCATAAGCCCGGCTTCCAGAAAACGTCGGATCTCCTCGCCCTTCCCCTCTTTCAGCGAGTGTTCCAGTCGCTGCCTGTATTTTCGCCAAGTAAAATTAGCTCTATGCTCAATCGTAATCTCGCACTCATACGGGCAATGTTGGGAATGCGCAAGGATGGCGGGATGGTCCTTGGGGACCCTGACCCCGCGCCAGTAGTGGTCGTACGTTAAGGCATCCGCTCTGACGTGCTTGATGATCTTCTTTGCCTCATCCTGAAATTTAGCCCTCAGGGCCTTGCAAGTCTGGCTGAGTCGAATTAGGGATGGCTTATTGAGGTAACCTGCATAATGCAGATCGAGCTCGTCGGGGAGCTGGAGCAGTATGGCAGTCGTTGGTTGGGACATTTTGGACGGATGGATTTTGAAAAGGCTGCGAAATCACTTTCCTCTACCGATTACGAGGGCTATACGTAGTGGTTTGTAGTTCTTTCAACGGTAAAAGCCTTGGTAAAGATGTCAATATGGGGCCTTTCCCAAATGTAGGGACAGCTGAATGAAGATCGATATCTCCAATAAAGGTGGTGGAGAGGGCTCTTTGTGTGTTTACTTGTACCTTATACCCGAGACAATGTCTTTGTTTAGGGCCCTTCACGCACACAGTGGTATTATTGGTAAATCGATTGGTTTCTCATTGTGGTGGCTTGAAGGATGATAGGAACTACAAAAAACAACAATAGGTAAGCATACAACTGTCCCCTTGACCTTTTTGTTTGAGTCATCTATGCTATGGTGCTTGTAGAGTCAAACCTGGCAGACTAGGAGTGAACTTAGTGGATGACCCATAAAAGGTCATGGAGTAAGTGGACAAGCATGGCTGGTCTAGAACCTACCTAGTATTCTTTCACTTTCGCTGCATATATGTGGTATACACGGTCTTAGAATATAGATACAAAGTGCTCTTAGGTGTGATTGAGTCTTTATTTCGTGGTACTACAATCACAATTTCATGTCAGATGCCACGATAGATGTGCGTACTGGCTCAGTGTCGGTAAGCGGCAGAGTAGCACAAATCTCCCTTTCTACTCCGTCGGGAGCTGTGAGACTTTATGGTCCTTGGACCTTCAAATGTACACAGTGACATGACCAAGGCAGGCCGTCTTTGCGCTCTAGATGCAAAATAAAGAACGAAAGTCAGCATTGGAGCACCTTGATGCTCTACTGTGTACCTCAATTGTCTATTATAGAGTGGATTTACCTCAGCTCAAGGTTGAATCCGCTTATGAAGCAGGAGGTAATCAGAAAGAAAGGAAATGTCGGACGTGTCAGTGACCGTTGATATCCGGGTGATTGCAAATTGGTCGAGCTATTTCTCCGCATGGTTGCTGGGCTTGCTTGACAGCCTAAGGAGTTCGACATCGTAAGATATCTCGCTCCTCCAATCCGAATCGCACGGACAGCGTAACAGTACCTCGCAAATAACCCTTACGCTCTGGTGACTTTGCGCGAGCACGATCAGCATGTAAAATTGGGCATTGGGGATACAGTGATATCAAGCTTAGAGTTGGACGGAAAATTCCCACAAGATCTGAGCCCTGGAAGATGTTCCAATAAATGGCACCATAGATTCCGCACGTGCGACTCCGATTCAATGTACCTGACGATGTATAGTGATACCGAATTAGTCAAAATAGCCTTATTCCAAAAGGAACGGTCTCTGCCGAGGGCGAGACTCTTAAATCCTACGGGCATATTTTGAATGCGTCTATCTTTATTGGACGTGACCTCGGACGCTATGATATTAACGGCATTGGCAACGGTCAGCCAAGCAGATGAGCAAAGTATAGCACGAAGATCGCTACTATCATCCTCACAACAGAAGCCGGTGGCTATATAACCCTCCCACAGTATCCGCAAAATCTCTTTCTCTCACCCCCAGCATCGGATATTCCCATCCTTGGTCCCTACACCTCATTCCACATTCAATCACCACTCTCAAGATGCGCTTCTCTCTTATCGCTCTCGCAGTGTTCGCTGCTGCCTCCGCCGCCATGAAGCTGAGCGACGTGCCCGGCACCGAGGCCAATCCCCTAGATCTAGACAGCAACTACGTAGTCCAATGGACTTATAACGAGTATGTTTGTTCTTTATATGGACCACAGAGACCATGATCCACGGATACTAAGATACATTGACACAGAAATGAGAGAGACAAGCCCGTCTGGGTGGCTCTCTCCCACTACGATCAAGGCGGGTACTCGGAATGCTACCTGCTCTCCGGCCAGCTCCGCGCCGGGGATGGAAGCTTTCGCATCCCAACGCACCCTGTCTCCCAGCCGGTTACTCAAGTGTACGTTTACATCTCTTATCTTTGATCCAATGAATATTTCTTCTCTTTAGAGCTACATGACGCAAGCTCTGATTTTTCGCCCTTCCCTGGCATATAGCACTGGGTATCGGTTCCGCCTGCACCAGACCAACCAATGCGTCGCCAACCCCGGCATTGAGGACCAGACGAACCAGTTTCGCCTGAAGCCTTACTACCCACCTACGAACTAGACTGTTTTCATGGGCCGGTGAACGAGGAGGAACGTGATTCTAGGGCACTAGGTCTTTGGTCTCTGTTCATCCACAGGTTACGCTGGGATGGCAACTTGTCTACGAAAGAGCCTGGTCCCACCTATTCCAGGGTATACAGTCTCTGCTGTGGATACCTGTTCATTGGATATGAAGAATTGTGGAAGGTGTCGCTGTGTTGTCTGCTTGGAAACGGGAAGAGTGATGTCTGGAACAGTGTGTTAGCATGAGGTTAGTCGACTAGGTAGAGTTTACGGAAATGTCGCTTCATGACGTGGCTTGCATCAAAGTAACAATTGTACTCAAATCTCACAAAAGAAGTGTAATTAGCAAGCAAAAGCCATCGTTCTCGGATGACACAGCCACTGCCTAGGGTTGAAACACGGCCGTCCTGCACCACAAGCGCATGTACTGGAGTCAGTGCTTGAGTAAGTTTACACAGCGCATCGCTGGATATAATTCTTACTACACCTCCATGGTATAGATCAGCACAACCCTAGGGGAACGACGTTACTGTCCAAGCGAACCGACCCTTTAGTCTCAGCCCCTTGCCCCAGACCCCGCTTGGCGAACCCCCTCCAGATGGCACATTGATTGATCCCTTTCGTGAGCGCCCTATCGGCGTCTAGGATGGCGTCCCGCGCATGAAGAAATGTCGGATTGCAGGGTTGTCTGGTAGGATTGTATTCATGGTTATGAAGGGCAAAGAAAGCAAAGTAGACGATTACTTACAGCGCCATCGCATCCATCACCAGCTTCATAGCAAGATACCTCCCGTCCGTGGGAACCCTGTTGTGAAAGACCGGCTTGGGGCCATCATTCTTGCCGTATTTATCGATCAGGTTCCACAGAATCTCGTACAGCATGCTCGCCCACACCGATCCCGCATCGTGGAGCATCAGCATCCCATCTACGCTGGAGTAGGTGAGTGGGTTGGTGGTCAGCGAGGTCGAGTAAGGGTAGAGGCGCGACCCCTGCCCTGAGGCGTTAGATGCCCAACCACCGAAGGCGTAGTCGGTAGCCCGCGTGTCGTGGGGCTTAAGACGCACTGCCGTGGTCATGAAGTCGCTCCAGCCTTCGCCCATGCTGCTGGCTTCGAAGGCCGATAGACACCCTGAATTAGCCGGGCCGCCCGTCAGTCGCGTCGACAAGCCATGCGTGTATTCGTGTATGACCATCCCTGCATCGAAATCAGCGTCGCGGGGTGGATCCGACCGCGTGAAGATATTGATGCGCATATGTCCTGGTTCGCCGTCCGGGGGAGCCTTGAAGTAGGCGTTGTTGTAGGATAGCCCGTCCTGCGCGTTCAGGATCACGTAGTCGTTCTCGCGGCCGCCTCGACCGCTGTTGTTCCATTGGAAGTTGCCGGAGCTCTCAGTAAATCCCAGCGTGTAGAGGAGGTCGTGGTAGGTGTTTGCTGTGTACAGTAACTGGGTGATGGATGCGTTGACGTACGTATCCGGAGGGGACATGGCCGGTGAGTACGGGTACTCGAACTTGGAGTTCGGGCTGCTAGGCCGATAGTTGTCCATGTATGGTGCCAGACCCGAGGGATTGGACTGCGCAATCCCGTTGTTTCCTCGCGTGGTGGTGTAGATTGTGTTGCCATCGCCCTGCCAGGTGAAGGGAGAGGCGGTTTTGTCCCACGGGTCGGTGACAATCGTACGTACGCCCTCGGTTGGATCGTTCAACCCCCATTCACTGGGAGAGAATTAGCTGATTTATTTCTGTAAAATGAGATTCAAAATGGTTTCTACCCACTAAACCTCGTAGGTAGCAGAAGCAGCATAATCCACGACACCATGGACGGTTGCATTGGCGCCTGCATCTACGTATATCAAGTACCAGTTCGAGTCCATGTGCGCCTCGACTCTCCAAGTCAGGGCGAGACTCTCATCCGACCTGACTAAGAAGACCAATCTTGCTTTAGGGTCAGAGATGCCCCCCGACGTGCCTCGGAATACGAGATTATCTCCCTGGGCTCTCTCACACTTCACGTTGTCCAGGGAAAGTGGCAGTCTCAATGCTTTGCATGCACGGTTGAGGGCTGTCACCGAACCGATGGCATCCGTTCCGAGAAGAAGGTCCCTTCGGCGAACCATTCCAGTATAGAACGAGCTCCCATACGAGAAGACTGTCCCATCCTTCCCGATCTACAGGGATGTGTGAGACACGATACAAATTGACAGAGAGATGCGGCACCCACGTTGACGTTGAAGTCGGCGTTATCAATGTCCACATTGTGGACAGTCTGCCTGAAGTGGACATGGGCCACATTGTTATCACCGATATAGTGGTCGTCAACGACGCGAAAGGTTGTCCCGGGCACAATGGTCTGCACGAGCCGCTTCGCAGTCTCTAGATAACTGGCTTGTCCTGCTCGAGCAGCTAGGCGGATGTTGTCAGCCACTGCGTTAATCGAGTTGACGTAACTGGCCCGTGAGGTCAAACGCAAAGAACTTGGAGCTATAGCCTGAGACCTCCAGCTTTCAGAAGGCTGAGACGGAAGGGCGAGCGCACACAAATGTAGCGAAAAGATAACGATGATGGACGTCCACATTTTGATTGTCATGGCTCGAAACAGCGCATAGTAGTGGAGGGAGGTTAGCCCGGCCGGGAATTACCCCTTCTCTTCCACATCCTCAATTCAGTTGATAAGAAAACATGAAAGTCTTTTAAAGGCTTAGGATATGTGGTCATCCTCTGCAGTCGCCATACTGGATCCTATGTTGTCTCTGCCTTTTAGTTCTTCAAGAAGCCCTGCTATGAACACGATAGTTCCATATCTAGCGACGTGCAGAAAGCACCTGGCAATGATCTCGCCTGTATCTGAAGCTAAAGACATGCTTATGATATAAGGAATTGAGATCACGCGGGGTTTCTGCGCATGTGCCTTTGTTGAAGCTTTTGTCCTTCAAAACACAGTTACACTAGTCAAGCCCGTTTTGACATCCGATGTAACCCATGGCTGACCAGGGGCTCTGTCAGGACCCGAGATCTGAAGAATGCTCTGTTCTTCTTCTAAAATCTGTTCTCTCTACCCTGAACGTTTATCACCCACTCTCTGGGGTGAAATGTGGAACTTTGGGGTCAAAGAAGTGAATTTTCTTTTCTTTTTCTCATTAAGTCGCCTGTCATTATCCCAGGAGGAGACAAGCAGCCTCATCAATATTTTGCTGTATACTACAAGCATTGGCGGTACGCAAAGTCCTCTGAGTAGAACGGACGCGGGATCCCTAGGACACGTAAACTCTAGGTACCAAACTATTAAGTAACAACAGATGCCAATCTCTAACAAACGTTGCCCTAAGAATATGTCCTATTGCCCTCGATGCAGTACCTGTGACGGACTGATCATGTCTGGAATGATAAGCTTCAACAGTAGACAACTTGTGACTAGCTGGGTAGTCAAGGATGAGGGAATATAAATCGGATAAAATATCATTCGCCACGTTTCCCGCTCCGGAGTCTCTGTGAGACGTGCTGAAAGTCAAATCAGATGTGACCCTTTCGGTGCCAGTTCGCGAGGGTTCAGGTGCTTCCGTGTTGCCTTGGCTTGAAGTTGGCTTGTCGTGGAGATCGATGATGAGGTGGCAGAGGATCAAGGGGGGTCAGCACTATCACTTCACTATCGTCTTCTCAGTGACAAACTTGCGTCGGGGCCACCGAGGTGTATGTGTCCTCCATAGCAGGTCTTTGTCTGGCCGGCAGAGCTTATTAGTCTAACCCCAATGCTACAATCAAGTCAGACTTTGAACTTGGTGACCGATGATATTCGGTAGAATCCCTCTGCATGTGGATCTTTGCAGACATCTCTATCTTCCTATGACTGGTTAAAGGCAAAGGGTGGGGGGGGGGGTTGGTTCCATTTACATCTGTTTATCCATTTAGGCTATTGCCGGATTCTAGTCAAGGGGTCTCGACTAGTCGCAACACAGCTGATCCTCGGTCAACGCTGCTCACTCATGCTACAGACGGACTTCCAGAATTGCTCGAATCATGTGGAACAGGCGGGTGGAGTCAGGGTGGCCAGCAAAAAAGAAAGAAAAAACGACAACAGTCGGATTTGAACCGACGCCTCCGAAGAGAATAGATTTCTAGTCTATCGCCTTAGACCGCTCGGCCATATTGTCTTTTGTTGAAAAGCAACTCAGATTGAAAGCTTATATGGAAAACGTAATTTAGTCTCATCATGCCATCAATCACAAGCCTTGTATCTCTATCTCCCTATCATGTAACACAACAGATAGTTCAGTTGGATCGACATGGCTAAGTCGAATCGCCACTCCCATTTTATATCCTCTCAACCTGGGTAAATGACGATCGCATGATGCCTGAGGTATAGATTCAAGGTCTAATCCTGGCGAAGTGAAATCCGTATCAATGCCTACGCTCAAAAACTATACAAAGGAAACAACCTCCAAGGATAAAGCATGCAAAAGTCCATATTAGCATAAGGGAGTTAACAGCGAGAGAGTCGAGTCTTTGTCAAGTTCAACAAAGACACAAAGAGCCTGGGAGAGAACCTAGATATAGCTGCTCATTCACAACATGCACTCGAACTTGTGTCTTGCTTTCATTAGGTCCTATCAGAGTTAGTGCTCGGATAAGAACAATAGACCCCAATGCCCTGCGGATATTGTTTAAGCTCTTTGTTGATGATGTTCAAAGAATCTTCTTAATGCCCCTCGTACTGTACTAGATCAAGGTGTCTCATTGTAGCAATTTAATGCCCGCAGCACCCGTAAGAGGAGACCATGGCACAAGCTACAACCCATTTTAAGTGGCCAGCAGCAATCTTTATACACACCGACCGCAGCTTGTGGAGACAACTACACAATATCGTATAACACTTTGGTCCGAGGTGAACTGATCACGACCATTGTGCCTGTAATTCTCTGCTGTGCTGCTGGATTCCCTGAAACCATAGTCCGACCCCGTCACTATCGAGCCTTCGGCCCCGACCGCGTGCATTTTCTTCCCTGCAGCATTGCGGCGCTAGCCTTGGGAAGTCTGCTGAGTCTGTGCGAAATCAAGCAACTCGATCCGCCTATGAGTCAAACCGACGAAGATTGGGCAGCAATTGTGATATTTTTCTCTTTGATAGTTAAGACATGCAGTGCAATTCTTTGCTGTGCTGTGCAATTAGGGTATGATTAACTGCCCATGAGCTGGGTGGCTTTACAACCCGCCAAAGCGTGGTGAGCATAATTCGAGAGTGTATCTGCGTCGATAAGGGAGTGCTCTTTTGGCAGTAGGCAAAGACCCTGCAGCATATCATTGTTGTGTACATTTAGTATTCTTCTAGTCATAATCATCTGTTATTCTATGCTATGTACTTTCATAGATGTTGATTATAAGATTGTGCAATCATCACAATCTTTTTACTATCATCTCAAATTAGAGAGGAGTTGTTCCTTCGCCGATCAATAAAGATGGAATTTGCTCAATCCATTTTGTAATACCAGTGAGCTAGTTATCAACAGCCTTGGGAGCGTCCATGCAGAGCAGCTAGCAGCCACTGGCTGTTGGATCGATGCTGTTTCAGATAAGAAAACGTCCCACATCCAGCAGAGATTCGACATCACCCATGTTTTGTGTCAAATGTGAATAAGACAAATGTCAAATCAGTAAGGAACCTCGCTGTACATTTGCCTTCAGCATGCAATGGTCAATTACGATGGTATCAGAGTTCGGAGCAAAGCAATGTTACTGTTAAGGTGACATTGGCCAGCGCTTCTAGGCCCCGTCTCACACGTGATGATAACCTGCCATGGCTTGGGTATACGGAGTCTTGTTCTCTGCTCCTGGTGCAGATCAATTTGTCAAGGACGTGGATGAAGGATGGATTCAGCTACGTGAGGCTATCTAAGCGAGGAACCATCAACATGCGTGGCGGGCGGTGAGCAGCCTGGCTCTCGAGGTCTGAACAGTTTCTCCTGGACGTCAGCCTGTCTGGTGGCTGTTGCCTTCACCTTCATCTTCACTGGCCCCGTCAACATCCTCACTTTTCTTTTAGTCTCACTTCATTTCGTCTCAACTGAACGGTCCACGCGAATTTGTGTTCGACCTCAGGTCCGCTATTCATTTAATCACACTTGAAAGCGTACTCAGGTTCGTTAAGATCGACTAACTGGAGATGGCTGCTACGCTACCACTGGAGCTACTCATCCAGATAGCAACTTTTCTCGAGAGTACAGGCGCCCCCCTCACTCCGTGCGTGACTGTCTGTCGCCGCTGGCAAGCAGCATTTGAGCCGTTGCTCTACCGCAAAGTGCACATCTACACCACCGATGACCTTGAGAAATTCGGCCCAGGTCGCGCGCTTTCCCTAGAAAACTTTGATCGGATCACATCGGGAACAGGTGTTTTCCGAAGAGCTTGGATTTGACACATTGAATGTTATCTTGTTGTTCCATACGAGCTATATGACTGGCACACAATCCAACTGGAAGATTATACCACCGATAATGAAGTACGAAGAGAAAATGACCGTGCATTTCAGTCCGGTATTATCGCCCTCTTCAGGACGCTTAGTGACTGGGACTCAGGTCTTCGCGTCACACTGCAACTATTGATCCTGGGTCGGAAAGAGACGCTCGAGCCAAATACAGACGATTGTAAATTTACCGGACCGGATCCCCGGAGCTTCCCAGACGAATGGATACCGGTTGTTCCTCTTTATCGGGCATCGTTCGGTGACAGTGACCCATCTATGCTCCCAGTTGTCCCATGTATCGACCGACTTTGGTTCTCTGACGACCCTGAGGTCGATTTTCTTTCTGAGATTTGGGTAGGCGCGGCCATGCAAATCGCTCGAAACTGCTCCACCACGTGTGGACTGCGTCTCAACATGCAAGAGCATGTTAAGCCAGATCATTTGGACTATATCCAAGGTCGTCGTCGGGGTGAGTACCTCTGCTACAACATTGGGGTGTTGAGAGGTCCTGCCTTTTAATGATTTCCATACCAGCATTTGCCGAGGGAATAAAATCCCTTCCACCCACTCTCAGAGACTTGGAACTTTTAAGTTCATTCGAGTACCCTTGGAAGTGGTTGATGCCTGGGCTGAATCTTCTGGGATCCGATCACGACCTGTTGTCTCTCAATCTTCGCAACCTCAGCGTCAATCTCAGACGGTTAGACCTGGATGAGGTACCGCTTGCAGCTGACGTTCTGTTCCCCCTTGATGAACAAGGGAACCCCCTACCGGAAAGCCTGTCGCTTCACTGGCCACAAATTGAGGTTCTCGACCTCCGTGTGCCGCCAGTTCTCCCCACCGGTAAGCATTCCTCCAATATCTCAACAATCCACATCTCATCGTCATGCATAGGCAGGTGGGTTACTCTTCACCTCCCCGAGCGACAAAAGGAGCTCGATGCAATAGAGGACTGGTCAGACATCATCCGTGACGTGGAAAGGGGATACGGAGACCGTAAACTCTTGGATGGTGAACATGTCCAGCGAGTCCTCATCTCTCTCGGTCATGCTGTCCGTCGAATGCCCAAATTGACGTCACTGAGCTATGCGATTGATGACTACCCCAAATTTGAACTCCTTGTGGAATTCACTCCTTACGAACATGCAGATTTATTCTTGTACTCTGCGCATCGACCTGATAAACGAGCTGCTATGGCTTGGAATTGCCCATTCGACAAGCTCCCTGCGACTGTGGGAAGTATCAGGGACGTGACAGCAGTCATCACACCATGGTCTCCGGCTTAAGTGACACTTTGCATAACATCCTATGCAGTTATCATTTCAGAAAGACATACGTAGCTGGCTGCCAAGCATCATGATGTATGCAGTATCATGTAATTAGTGGGGTGTAACTGCAAGGGTTAGTCTATCCGCCGCGGGCCATCCCCGCTACCCCTCAATGCTGTCCCGGAGTAGCCCTGGAGTATTAAGATAAAAGTCTCTCGCTTACCCACTATCTTTCCCCGCTATTTCGTCCTTTCCTTGATAGAATCTTCACCCAGAATGACCGGCAAGTCCCTCCAAGGCAAAAACGCCATCATCACCGGCGCCTCCCGCGGCATCGGCCGCGGCATCGCCCACGAACTCGCCCACCGCGGCGCCAACATCCTCCTCACCTACCAGAACGCCCTTGCGCAAGCCGAGGAAGTCGTCTCCGACCTCATCCAGCGACATGGAATAGACGCATTCGCCGTGCAGGCCGAGGGCAGCGACATCGATGCCCCTCCGCGCATCGTCCGCGCCGCCGTGGAGCGCTGGGGCGGCACAATTGACATCATTGTCAACAATGCGGGCGCCAGGGACGATTACGCCTTTGAAGATATGACCCACGAGGCGTGGGAGGCGCAGCTCGCCACGAATCTCCGCTTCCCGGTCTTTCTCATCAAAGAGGCTACCCCGTACTTCGGCAAAGCACCCCGGATCGTCAACTTCTCCAGCAGCTATGCGCGCGACGGCCATCCGGGGTGCGTGGCGTACGTGGCTGCCAAGGGGGCGATCGAGAGTTTGACGAGGTCGTTAGCCACGGAGCTGGGTCATAAGTATAATGCGACCGTCAACTGTGTGAGTCCCGGCCCGGTGGATACGGAATTGTGGCAGCGAAGCATCGAGGATGCAGAAGTGCGGAAGGATTGGGAGCGGGTGGTCAAGAGCACGCCTGCGGCCCCGAGAGTGGCGGACGTCGATGATATCGCGCAGGTGGTGGCGTTCCTCGTCGAAGACGGTAGTCGGTGGGTTACGGGGAGTGTTGTGAATGCCAATGGGGGGTTACTGTTCAATTGATTGTGTGGAGGACATGGTAAAGATTTTCTACGTCTATATTTGTACATATTTTTCGATGGAATAGATCACATCTAATGTGAGTTACAAGGTGTCTACCTCAGAAGCCCATAATCTCATCGGCTATTTTCAACACAGCGCGCTGTCCTTGCTTCAGGTTCTTCTCTCCAGTGTTCCACTTTTCCAGTCCCAGAGATCTCAATCCCTGCTCCTTAGTATAACGAGCTAGGTGTGCTTGGGTTGTGCGTCCAATGTGTTCACTTTCGCCCTTGCCTCCAGGGAAGTCGGGCGGTGGCACACCATTGAGAAAGTCTTCTCTCTGACGGCGAACATACTGCGCATTGGCCTCGGTTACGGGGCAAGCAGGAATGTACAAGACACTGCTGTCTCCACGTCCCTGGTGCACCTTGTCGACGGAATGGATGGCTAACCCTCGTCAGCAAAATCAGGCAGAGAAATCGAGGTGGATGGGACGTACTATCACAGTGCCAAGCGACGTAATCGCCAGGGGCAATATGGGGCATATGCACCATGGTCTTTTCTAGCCGCAAGTGGGGATGCAAGATATCGCTCAGTTCCTGCGCGTACCCCGGCGTGGCGCCCTCCAGTTTGCTGGACATCGACGCCTCAAGACGCCAGTTTGTGGGGTCGAGGTAGGTATCCAGGGCCAGCCGGAGGAGACGAAATCGGCTCAAAGAACGGGCGCAACAGGTAGTATGCGGTGGCCATGGACAACAGGGGGTTGACGAGAAGCGTGCCCTCGCGGGGACCTGTGTGCGACATGCTTAACCAGCCCTGGAACATCCGGAACATGGAACACGCGCCCGCCCCGTTATACAAGTCCGCCACCGCTGGAACTCGGCAGCTGGCTTCCCAGGGGTCATACTATTCCCACTGCCCCTCCCAGATACGTTTGTAGACCTGTCCCAGTCCGTATCCGTCGTCTTCCCAGCGCTCGACGCTGCCGCCGTCCACATGAGGTCCCAAGGCGAAACCGGCATCACCTGGCTGGCGAATGCGCAGGCGGTCGGCATATGTTCAGGGGTGGAGGGGGGAGATGAGGGCATGGTTCGCGCGCGAGTGCCAGAAGCTCATGAGGAATTGCTGGGTATGCAGCATGTGGGGATGCAGACGAGCACGCATCTGAGGCTGGGACCAGTATAGCTCAAATACCTGCGGATCGTGAGGGGGGAATGCTGCGGTGCGTCATTTCAGCAATAAGATGACTCTCAAGGAAAGTTTCTCATACCTCGGGTCTGAGGGTTGGCTCGCACGTACGCCTCAATCTCCTCCTTGTAGGTGCGGGCCTCGCTCTCAGGAATCACACCCCGCACCACCGCAACACCACGCTTGCGGAGTTCATCCTGGAACTTCGCCAGTGCAGCATGAATGTCTTTGAAGTCGATGGAGGGGATGATCTCGGATCCTTTGGTTGCGATGAGTGCTACTTCATCACGCAGCCGGCACAAGAGTCGATCCCAGCTTTGTTTCACCTGATCTTCGTGTCCAGCAATTAGACGCCGCTTCTGATCGGCGAACCTAAGTGGCAGTGCATTCTCTTTCACTCCTGAGAGGGAGACGAATACTGAGGAGATATCGCCTTCTTTGCGGGGGTTCTGTGTCGAAGTGGCCAGCTGGCGATGTGCTCTGGGTTTGGAGAGAATGCGCAGAGCCGGACGGAGGCTCGCGGTCTGAACTTGTGAAGTATGCATGTTGCAGCGATTTGGTTTCAAGCCAAGATGATTGTCGCCTTGTTTGTGATTCTGTCTGAGGCTTGCGAGAGATTCATGTGGGTTCTTATACATCACGAGCCTGCACTTAAGCTGCCTGGGCAAGCAGGCGGGTGGGTTTCCTAATGCGGTAACCGGCCGCCCGCCAGCCCTGAGCGGCGCCACTTGACCCCTTATCGCTTATAAATTAATCCCTCTTTTCCTGCATTTTGCAAGCATGCAAACGTGAGTAGATTTGCAGTTCTTCTAAAATTACATCATGGCCCAATCGTTCCAGTCAGCCGGTCGAACCGAGCGACATGCATTTGCCGGGGTTCTTCTCGACTTTGATGGGACAATCATCGATTCGACTGAAGGTAAGCGTGACGAACCTCTCGCCGGGTGCATATGTGGCTGATATTGATGCACAGCAATCGTGGAAAACTGGACAAGGTATGTCTTCTACACCATGCTTCCTTGCTGGTGCTTGCCTACTAGCCAACAACAACCCATTCACTCCCCGTATCCTACTGAACATTATGTCCAGAGTCGCTGCCGAACTGGGGTTGGACCATCGCGACATCCTCCGCGCCTCTCATGGTAGACGAAGCATTGATGTGCTCAAAGAGCTAGATCCCACTAAAGCAAACTGGGAATGTAAGTCTAAGCGGCCCGCCTTTTCCTCTTTGTCTTGTTCCGTCCTTCGTAGTGATTATAGCACTAATTACCCTCAGATGTGAGCGCCATGGAGGCCAGAATCCCCCTTCTCTCTTCCACGCCTGCAGTGGAGATCGCGGGAGCGCGGCGGCTACTGGAACAACTCAACCACTATTCCATCCCGCATGCCATTGTCACCTCAGGCAGCAAGGCATTGCTGGATGCTTGGTTGAGTATCCTTCAGCTCCCGCGGGCAATGAAGGCCACGACCGCCGAGGATGTCAAGATCGGTAAGCCGGACCCCGAGGGGTATCGTATGGCCAAGAAGAAGTTGCTTCAACATCGTTCTGGGGAAGGGGAAGTTCTCGTGATGGAAGACGCTCCTGCAGGAATTGTCGCCGGCAAAGCAGCGGGATGCAAGGTGTTGGCTGTGACGACTACGCATACGGTGCAGCAGTTGAAGGAGGCTGGTGCGGATTGGGTTGTTCGGGATCATCGCTTTGTTGATTTTGAGGCCCCGGCCGGGTCTGGGGATATGTGTCTGACTTTTCATGACCTTCTGTAGCCACCTTTGTATGAAACCATTGATTCTTCCAGTATCTAGCAATTCCGGAGAACATCAAGACAGCGCAAATCAGCTATGCATAAGAAAATCCGCTTCAATACACAAGCATCTCCATTGACATCCGCCACCGAGTTTTGACATAGGTTTCAATTGACCAACCATTGCGCCGCTTATGAGAAAGAAGAGTTCAGGCTTATGGCAAATTCTACATTCCATTTCAGCTTTTCAGTCCAGTTAGCCTTCATATGTATGGAGGTGGTAAAGGCCCTTCCAGTGATATTACTCTGTCAATAGCAGAGTCGTAGCTCGGTGTTCGGCTCAGCTCTTGAATATCGACCCATCCGGAGTCTGATGGCATGTGCCCACATGGCGAAGAACATCTCGATAGTACAGGTGAGCATACACGTGACTGGTCTGCCATGCTATCACTATCAGTGAGCAATGGGTCTTCTTGGTGTTTGCCGTACACCGGAGGAATGATGTGTCTGGAATAGAGGGACGATGCCTTGAGCTGGGTGATGTTGACGTTATGCATGTAGATGACAACGGGGGTAGAGGCCCGGACCTAACCGCTGGGAATTAGCTCAGCGCTTTCGATCATCCGTGTCAGCTTTACTTACCGATGATATGTGCCCGTCCATGTTGATGATTCGGATGGTGACGGTCACGTTGTGGGTGATATCAAAGTGAGAGGATTGGATCGCCTGAGCGCAGTCGTGAATCGATGTCGGCAAGGGGAGGAGCGGTGCAATCTCATATCCGCCGTCGGGCTCATGGACTGAGATATCAGGGTCTTTAGATGACGAGACCTCTTTTTTACAGATTACACGCGAGCGAGTGATACGATTCAGGAACCCGCCGTCGAAGGATGGATTTGGCGCAAAGTGGTGAGTCTCCACGACTTCGATTGTGATACTTTCGATCTGAAGACCCTCGGTCAATGGGTATAGTTGAACTCGAGGGCAGAGATCTGATCCAAACGGTATCTGGGTGGTGGGATAGGTGATAGAATATCGAATTTTGCCCGGCCACTCGTTGTCCAGAGCCTATGCAATAGCAGGGTCAGAGGCTGCTTGTGAATGTCCGTCTAAGGTGAAGGGAAACCCACATGTACGGTCGCAAAGGAGTACCACTCACTCGGCGCATAGCTTCGATACACCTTGATGCTCTCGTGGCATGTCAGATCGCTTGCAAGTCTCCTCGTCACGGTTCCGATCAGCAGATATGAGACCGAATAGCCTTCCACGCCATCCACAGACTCTCGCATATGCTCTCCTTGCCCGAGGGCGAGGTCAAATATTACCTCATGTCTGCCCGAAGCATATGTTCTGGACTGAAAGACAGGTGTTCGCATCAGCTGCCAACTGCGCTGGAAGATAACCGACTCGGTGCAGCGTTTGGTCAACGTCTGGGGCCTCTCGGAGCTGCCCCATCTGGGAATACTAATGTGTCAGCTTGATATCAAGACCCGAGATGCGCTCTCGGTGCTTCAACACGTACCGTCGCTTCACGAATCCCCTCAATTGTACGTCGATCGATCCTATCCGCATAGGCTGCGCCAGGCTCAAGATCAACTTGCCCGTGATGTGAGGGGTCTCTGGGGTGGGGTTGCGTTCTGCCGGCAGAAAGACCCGGTGGGCATATGGACTATGCCAATTCACAGATTAGACACCATTTCACAGAAATGCTTGAAGCAGGTTGGAGGACATACTCCAATTCAAAATGTAGATTACAGCCGTGGTTTGACATCGTCACTCAAGGGTAAATGGAGTTTGATTGTACTGTACAGACTGTACGGCTGCCATCAGCACTAAACAATGAGCTTTTATCCTTGGCCCCTGACTTCTCGAACTGCAACTTTTTGTTCTTCTTCTTTTTCTTCTTCTTCACTATATCATTCATGATGGGATTCGCCCTGCACTGCACTGCACCCCACTATCTATGCCTATTTGGGAAACCGTGCCGCCGAGATGGCGATGGCGGGCCGGAGAGCGGTTGATTCCACTTTAGGAAAGCTTCCCGCTCGGCTGCCGCCTCCCGCGCCTGCGCCTTTTCCTTTTTCACTGCTCTTCCATTATCGACCTTGAACATTATCAACAAGCAGTCAGTAACTTACCACTGGGTATAGGTAGTCACAATGCATTGGCAAACCTTGGCAAGCCTCTAGCTTCGTCCATAAGCCCCCTCTTGCCGATCACCCTTCCTCTCTTCCTCGTCATATCCCAGATCAAATGGAGGTTACCTGGCTAGCCGACTCCCCGCAGACCCGCAGTCGAAAGAGAGCGTTGAGAGCCTGCGACCTTTGCCAGCGGAAAAAGGTGTGTAGCTCTTTACTCAAACCGTGGCATGTGGTGAAAGTATGAGAACACTGACTTGCTCTTTTACACCAATCACAGAAACGCTGTCACCATGCGGGTACGCAGCCAAATTCCAGTCGCATGCGTCGAAGGCCGGCTGGACCCAGCCCCACCGGAGCGCAACCCCAGCATCACTCGCGGGTTTCGACAACACCAGATGCCATTCTGCCGGCTCGCTTCGTTGGTGAGATGAATCCGGAGGCGGAGATTCGAGAGAAACTGGCGGTTGGTTCGAATTCCACTCTTCTGCGTGACCGCGTGGGACTCTGGATTCCTGCCTCTGGCGCTGAAAATGGAGGAGATGAATTGAGGAAAACTGCCAACAACATGGACAATCTAGCCCCAACATATCCCGCAGAAGAGGTATATACGTCTCAGGTGCTGGAAAGTTTGATTCGCCGACGGTACGAGTCCGCACGTCAGGCCTGTAGGCCACTGCCCTCATCCACCCGCACTCCTCTCTTCGCCATTTATTTCTCCCAAGTCAACCACATCCTGCCCATCGTCGACCCTCGCATAGCTGTCTCCTCCCCTTTTCTAGAGCGAGCAATATGTCTAGTGGCAGCCAAGTCGAGAGCTGCTGCACCGCATCTGTACTTGACCGAGAATGCCGCCGTAGTGTCGCCTCGAGTGTTCTGCACGGAAGTCTACCAAGGACTTGAAGATGCGTTGACCGAAGGGCTCGAGCGGGACCGTGTGACTAGGATCCGAGTGCTCGCATTAATAGCCTTGCATTGTGAGAACTCGGAGGGATCCGAAATCGCGTCGATGCATCTTTCGCAGGCCATTCACCAAGCACAAACCGTGGGTATGCACCTCAAGCGACCGGGCGATGGCGACTCGACACATCTCAAGCTCTTCTGGAGTCTGTGGACCCTGGACAAGCTTCTTGCATCGATGCTCGGTCGCCCGGCTCTGATCAACGACCATGATATCAGCATCGAGAGGCCGTGCAGCGCAAACAATGCTACCGAAACTCCTACAACCGCCTTCGACGTTTGGTTCAGGATCTCGGAACTCTTGTCTGAGGCTATCCTGTTTTACCGACCCGGAACGAACCACGAGGATGGAGCAGAGAAACAATTCCCCAGCTTTGAGCAAACAGTGGGTCCCTACAGCCAGGAACTCGAATTTGCCTCCCTGGGTATGTGGCTTTCCTCTTGACCCCGAATGTGGCGATGTAGGGACTGTGATGACGATAAGATCCTCACAAGGCTGATCCTTGTGCAGAACTGTTAGAGCTTTATTACCAAGCCGTCGCAATTGTCTTTCACCGAACGGTCGATAACACGGCCTCGGAACCGCACAACTTTGCACGCAATCAACAAGGCCTCGCAGCCATCCGCGTGCAGTCCATCGTGGCGAGAGAGTGCTCCGAGGACCTACCTCCTTTCCCGATCGTCTCATATGCAGTGGCATTGTCCATGAGCGTTTCCTATCGCCAATACCGGTCCAGCAATCTTATTACGCACCGAAGACGAGCTGCAACCGACATTGACGTGTGCTGTTCATTACTTGAGGGCCTAAGTGTCTCATGGTATTCTGCCGAATCGATGGCCCGGTTGGGCCGCAAGGCTCTCCAGCAAATCCAGGAGAGTGATCCGGGCTTGTACGGAGACACGTCCGGAGTCCATATGCCTACATTGCAGTCTCCACAAGCGACTCGTAGTAAGCGTACTCGAGTGGCTGCCGCTTTGACCGGAAACGAAGAAAGTATGTCGATGAATGCGGCCTCTGGACCTGTTGCACAAGATTCCGTCGTATACTATACGGGAGACCACGATTGGGCGATTGGCGACATGTATGACCTGGATCTCGCCTTCGATGACTTCTTGGATCTTTCTTTGCCGACCAACTTCTAATTTGCATTCTTTGCGGGCCTGATGTGGAGTCTCGAGCCAGTGCATCACGATGGTTAAGGATGAAATAATTGATTCCCAATAGACATCCTGGTGTTTCGTGGCAATATCCTTGTTACACATCATTCAACCAACAAAGCGGACTTTGCCTCAACACAAGGCGCAAAGCCAGCAATGAAATGTCTAGCTACAGTTTGGCAGTCACTCTGGAAGTCTTCTTCAACAGCTGCACAGTATCCCGAACAGCGACCTGGCCTCGCTCGATGGCTCCATCAATAAAGCCGCGCCAACCATCCGCCCAGTCCGCGCTTGCGAAAAGAATGCGTCCGTGCGGTTTCTGGAGCTCTTGCAGATGGACCGAAGCACTGTTGGGGCCCCAGCAGGCCCACACGCCCTTAGAATACGGGTCGTTCATCCAGTCATGGGTTGCGTACGCCTCGACGGTAACATCGGGCTTGATATCCCGCTTGAACCTCTGCACGATGTACTCACTGTCGGTCTTCTGGGTCAAATGCCCGTTGTATCCGAAACCTATGCACCAGGTGCCTGATGGTCCCGAAGGCTGGGTGCCATTGTGGTCCGAGAACGCAAAGACGAACTCTGAGTCGCTGGCGTCATTAGCCGTCCAGAACCAGCCGGGCAGCGTTTCACGTAATTTGAAGTGGATCTTTGCGCCGCGGTTGATATGGCCTTGGCTCACGGCGGTTTGGCGAAGGGGTGAGAGTGGAGGGTTGAATTGCACGTCCCCGAGACAGTTTCTGGCTAAGCGTTAGCAACTGCTCATTCTCTGTTGAGGTATGCGTGGTCCAGACACTTACAGTGGGATTGTGGAGATGGCTGCGCCAGCCCGGAACCTCCGTCCGTCCTGCGTGCGCACCTCAACCTCATCCAGCACATGGCTCACTTCTGCGACAACCGTGCCGAAACTGATGTCCCCGACATACTCGCTCAGAATTGCCCGAGCAAGGGAGGTCATCCCGCCTCGTTCCAGCTTGTAATTCCCTGCCAGCTCGAACACGCCCGCCATGCTGTGGCCCCCGAGTGCAAACCAGCGCAGTGCTTCGGTGAACCCTGTCTCCTTCGCCGGGGCACTACCGAACGTGCTGACGTTGGACGCGAACAACTCCTTCTCCCATTGATGCAAGTCCGTCAGCTGATTCAACCTGTCCTGCACACTGAGATGATCGTATTTCTTCCACGGTGAGGGTGCCCGCAGCGGGTCATGGGGATACGGCATCAAAGCACGACTGTCCAATCCATCGATCGCGAAGACCCTCTGCGCCACGCGCTCGAGTACCGGCCCGTATTGCTCGGAGGAAACCTTCTCCATCGCCCCGCCTGACGACTTGAACAATTGCTCATGGGGCGCGAAGGTCCCCGCCGATGCTTTCAGGTTCCGGTGCAGCCCGTACCGATGCAGCTCGGCGTAGAGGTGCGGCTGGTTCCAGTGCACCCAGGTGCCGCCCATCTCGATCTCCTCCCCGAGTACTTGGGCTGTCCAAGTGCGCCCGCCGAAGCGATCGCGGGCTTCTACCAGGAGAACAGCGAGGCCATGCTTCCGGCTCAGGTCTCGGGCTGCGGTGAGGCCTGCGAACCCAGCACCGATGACGACCACGTCGTAGCGGTCGCGAAGGGCCGGGGAGCTTGGCTGCACTGCATCTGTGGGTAGGCCTGAGGTGATTTGGGTGGGAGTCCAGAGAAAACCTTCATTTGAGCGAGGCATGACGAAGTACCTTGTGTTTGTATTGTGTCAAAGATGCGCTTTTCAAATCGTGGGATAGGAGACTTAGACTTTCCCTGAGATTCATAGATATAGCCCTGCGTCATGTGTTCCAACGTGGGTTTCGGGACCCGCGCATCCCGAAGGCAGCTCGAGGTGATGCACAACTGGCACCGTTATCTTTCAGATGGTGTCTTGGAACGTGCATGCTGATTGTAATCCAGGCCACGGACGAGACACGATTCTGACGCACTTTTTTGCCGAATCGGGTAAGGCTAGCTCAGAACCCTAAGGTGGAGTTTAGTCGCAGATTAAGAAAGAGATTGACATCTCAACCTGCATATCTCTCAGATTCCGTCAACCAGGGCCCAGTGATAAGACGGATTTAGGTAGATATGCCTCGCAGCAGATTGTTGCGATTACGTTCACAGCCTTGCTTGTCCACCAAGGTGCTGATTGCCGTACTGTATGTACACCGTACAAAGTCATAGCGGTTCATTATAGCAGATACTTTACGTTAAGCAAAGGATTTTTATACAAGAGCAACAAACTCTGTAATATACGGGGATGGATGTATGATTTGCCCAAGTCTTGCATACAGGCCCCCCCCTAAGTTTACTCAGATTTTAGCCGGCAAACGCCCCCCACACTTCCACGCCACCCCATAACTATCTGAAGAAAAGGTGATAGTGCTACCTCGAGGAAAGAAAAAGGTATCGCCCGGTCTGACTGTGGCCCTCTGCCCGGTCTCATCACGGAGGTTGATCTCACCTGCACAGTTGGGCCAATTAGCCGGTCCACGATTCGACCCTAGAGGAACCCGGCTGGAGCACTCACCCTCTATCACCACCCCAACTTCGTCGTAGGTATACTCTGGGGGTGTTGCTTCTGGCCCTTTCTCAATTCGAAACCAGCAGCCGACAATTGGGTTTGTGTTATCGCGCTTCTCTGTTCCGAGCAGGTCGTCTGTTTCATCTGTTAGCAGGGCGATGTCATCGGATTTGTAGGTGGGAGATAGTCGGACCGAAGAAGACATTCGGAATGCCGCCGAAGTTGGGAAGCTTGTAGGCTTCGACCTTGCTTTTGACTTGGAGGACCATGGTGATTGTTCGGTGGTGGCTATGGTGTAGTTTGTTCGTGATGCTGTATCGTGTGAACGGCGGTTTATATAAGTAGATGTCGGGGTCATGGAGCGGCACATGGCAGTCGAACAGTTGCGGATAGTATATCTCCACCTGATGACTAGGGATGTAGCTAAGAAAATGTTGAGGTAATCGCAAGAATGCCTTTATCCATGTGCACCCATCGTGTAAACCGTGCCTATAGTTTCTATTAAACTATCTTAGTGTGTATCACAGCCAGCCAGCCCCGGGCCTCAAAGCTGATCGCTGAAAAGGGACTAGCGCGGCATGGACCCCCATACAACCAATCGCATCCTCTGGCCGACGCACTATTTACCCGAACGCGGTTAGTGTCGTGCGCCTCAGGCTGCAGGGTGATAGAATGACTCCAAGCCTAGACGAAGGCCCGAATGTATCTTGGAAAGACTGATAGTCATTTCCACCTAGGACTAGCCAAGTATTGTCTCCAAACGCTCGGAGGCCATCACTTCTGTCCATTGGACGTACTCGAAGTCCCCACCAGGCTCGTCTGCAACCTTCTGCACATCGGACAGGAACCATACCCGATCCAGAATCTCCTGCGCCCGGGGAATAGCGGCAACGCCGACGATTCGATGAGTGGTCTCGATGCGCTCACGCACGGAGTTGCGCCAGAAGAGGCAGGTATCCTCCTGCAGGGTGGAGTCCAGGATATCTGGTGAAGATTGACCACTTTGATGTGGCCGGAGGGCCGTGCACGCAGGAACCTGCAATGCACTGCCGGCAACGATCAGCGGAATCGTGAGCAGGCAATAGACACCCGAGGTGGTGGGAAGGACTCCGATAGCAGCCAGCACGTTTGTGGCCAGTGTGAAAATATACTGGGCCCGCCTCGACGTCCACGAGGTCTGGCCACGCACCTGTGTTTCGTCGTCCGACCCCGCATGGAGGTCGGGGAATGCCATGTATAGCTGAAGGAGGCTTGTTTGTTGATAAATACGAGCGAGTCGTTGAAGGTGGTCGATGGGCGTTCGTGCATCCACTGTGTCTTCGATGTGCTCCTGCAAAGGGACTTGATAGCGGAGGAGCGCGGTCTCCACACTTCGAGCGTGGTCCATCATGTCGGTGCTGACATGCCTCAACCCACTTACTGATGGAGCGGCGATAGACATCTGACGAAGCAGAGATCGGTGTCTGGTCAGGGTGCCGACCCTAGCCAGACAGACAAACAAGGGTGTGCAAATGCCGGTCCAGGGGTTGATGTAGATGCTGGACGGCTCATCGGCCACTAGGTAGGCGATTGTGTCCAATGGTTGAGTATGGACGAAGGAAGTAACTGCTTCCCAGTAGACCATGAGACCAGTGATGAGACTTCTGGTTCGAGGGTAGCCTTCTACTTGGGAGGAAGGGCCTGGCCTCGTAGACGCTGACAGCCATTTGCGATATAAGACCCGGGAGCCGTGTAGATGGGTGATGCCCAGTTGCGTCGGATCATGCCATCCCTACCTCAGGCTGTCAGTTGTGGTGGTGAACAGTGAAAATGGTTTCTCACCTCAGTCATGCCCAGAAGTATGCTACCAAGAAGCATCTCGACGGTCCCATCGAGCGATGATGCGCCCTCTCTCCAATGCGGGGTGGATACTGCCTCTATCTCCGCTTTCAGACAGGCTAATGCTGTTGATCGATGAGTCAGGGTGGTTGTTACCATGTCGCCTCGTATTGGGGTGAGATGAGCGGCGGACATGGCCAGAACACAGGAGTGGATTAGTGGACGGGAGCTTATCAGGGCTCCGACCTCCATGCGGAAGAAGTTCTTGTGCGAGTCAAAACATGAGTTAACTGGACAGACTTTGGAGAAATAGTGGCGCAGTAGAGTTGTGTCGTCATCTTCCAGGGTGACGTAGACCTGGTGCAGGTTGGTCAACCTCGTTAGGTCGCTGGTGGTGGGACTTCCTCTGGTCAATAGAGTGGAAGTGTTGTCTCCATCAATGCAGAAGGGTGATTCGGGGTCAGTTTGGGTTCGATGAGCAGCTTCAGCTCGATGAGCATAGGCTGTGGAGTCGGTTGACCTGCTCGGCTGGATGAAATGTGCTTGCAATGTCTGCATGGTCTCTTCCAGCTCGGAGGATGGGTGCGTGATGCCCTTGCCTACCTCATACTTAGAGGACCACTTCAAGGGTCGTCTGTAGCCTGGACAGTCGAAGTTCTTCCGTGTACATTGGTTACACGCTGGTACCGTCTCGTCACACTTGATCCGCTGTGTAGATTTGGTTAGCAAGGCACATAGATCTCCGGTCTGATGGGAACCCTACTCTCTGTTTGCATCGGGGACAGCCACCTTGAGTGAATAATAAGTTAGTTCGAACACCCTGGTAGACACCGCTCACCTGAGCAACAGCAGGCCGCACTCACTCCGAGCTTTAACTCTACGACGAGAGACTGGTTGCGGGGTTGACATGGGAGGTGTGTGAGAGCAGCTCCGAATGCGACCTAGGCGGAAGTGAACGCGAAACTCTTGCGAATGCTCCTAGGATCATGAAGCAAACAGTTGAACCCTGAAGTACTAGGTACGACTGTTCCGGTTCTCAAACAGTCTTCTTCCCCGCAATCCGCTTCAATGCCGAGCGGAGATAAGCTCCCGGCTGGATAACTGCTGGGAATCCTATTGGCCATGCGCCTTGACGGCTGGCTTGTGTCCTAAGGCACGTGACCTAGTACTATAACTACCGAAATCATCATAACCACAACGTACCGTACATTGAAAGATTTCACCCCAACTCCTAGCGCCAAAGTCCATATACAATCCAGCCATACCTCGTCTCCATCGCCTGCTCAGATATCCGGAAACTCCAACGCTGAGAAACCAAGCCAGGTAGTCACCGCTGATCATCATATCTGGATCCGAACAGGAATAGATGAGAAGGAAGGAGGCGGAAGGCTGCCTACCGGGGCATCTGCATACGCACGAGTCGCTTTGTGCGTCAAGCGCGCTGTGATGATTGTAATCAGAGTCAGCAGCTCGGCACGTAGAAGCCGCTGGTCCGCATCCTTCCCATCGGTATCGTGAATCACCATCTCCTTCAGATGAGGATGCTGCCCGTTGGCTGCGTCCCAGACTACTTCCACTTGCCACCGCGGCGCCTGAATCTCTAAAAGAAGATCGAAATTGGTGAAATCCCCGATACTGTCAGAGACCCGATTGGTCATGGATTAGATTATTGGTTAATCACGGCTACCCTCCCGGCAGAGGGACAAGGAGAGGGAAGGGGCAAAGACCAACTCACTCTCTATATATCGCGGCCCTGGAGGAAATTCCTCTCGCTGGGGGAACACTCCGTGACAAGCCAACTCCTCCCCCAGTGTACCCCAGTGCCCGCGTTCGATTGGAGGAATTCATCATCCAAATACATCGGACCGGGCTTGAGATAGTGCTCAACCTGGATGAGGATATCTCCTTTGTAGGGCTCGAAGAAGCGGGGCCACAGGGACTTGTCCTCCAGGGATAGGGCGCCCAGCTGGATCCCAGTCGATTCTACATCTGCTGTGCTGAAGTACCCGAAACCCAATGCCTTGACCTGTGTTCGATAGCGCAGAGTCTCTCCCGACAAAGCTTGCGCTTAGGTCGTTTATCGATGAGCGTCATGGTATAGATGGGGCTGACAGTGGGAGGACAGAGAGTTAAGCGGGGCTGCTAGTGTATTCAGCAAAGGAGGAGGGCAGTCAGGAGTGGTGCTTGTGGTGTACTCAACTTAATCAAAGAACCGAGCCTGTGTTATGAGGGAAGGATGGAAAAGGAACAGGTAAATAGTAACCTAAACGCGCACGTGGCAGTTCTTAATCGGGTTGCACGGCAACCGTACTAGACTATTCGGACCTGCGTGTGGTTGATAGGCAGTGTTTGCAAGGCATTTCTAATATTGCGGTAAACAAAACGCGAAAATAAGCATAAGCAAGGGTAATGTGGCTGAATACCACCAAATCGCACTTTGTATAACATTGCTCCCGGTCATTGATTGAAAAGTGGTAGGATGTGGAGTTGGACAACCACAACAACAATTACATCCACAGAACTTTCTTATCAGTGATAGCCAAGAATAAGCGCCCCTACCTTCAGGCCATTGTAATCTCTTCACTAACATGTGCAATTCTCCCTATCTTCTCTCTCAGAATTCTGACACCAAGCATAAACGGCGTATACCACATTAGATTTGCCAAGAAAGGAGAGGGGTTCGGGTGGGGTCAAAACATCACTATTCACATTATCGATAACAACCATCTCTTGGAGTTTATAAATCTTCAAAATAGGCGGCTCTTTGTGTATATGTTATTTCCCCACTTGACACCAGACACTCACCATTGCACTTACCGTGGCGCTCAGGGCTCATGCAAAACGGGCAGTAAAGTGAGAGCTACTATAGAGATAAATACCCGGCCGTGCGTTTCTACTGGCCCGCACTTTTTGTACATTTCCAGATATCAAGTGCTACCTTATCTCTACTCAAATACCGAGTCAGGCTAGTGGCAACTCCGTACAGCCAAGGTCGCGGTGATGGGCTGTCTCTGAGAGCTACCTAGAATCCATCAAAGTAGTCACTATGCTCCATTCCCTGTCTCTTATACACACCTGCTCTACCCGCACAGAATCTGTTTCCAGGCATCTGACCATCGTACGATCGATCAATCAAGATGGCTACGAGCATAAAAGCCGCGAATGACAGTTGTACCGCCAAGTCGGGCGAGGTGGATGAGAGGATGCACAGCGGGGTTGGAGAAGTGATCGAATTGAAGGCAGGTAGCTGCGGATTCCTTTCTGACGTTGAGTAGTGCTAACCTGAACCGGCTATGAGTAGAAGCCCTTCTCTCGATTTACAATTCTGTCTCTGACGGTCGTCCTGATGGCAACCTGGGAGGCATTTTCTAGGTGAATTCGCGCCGTCGATGGTCAGACAATGTCGCTCAGTGGGCTGACGACCATAATTTGTATAGTACGATGGCGGCGGGTCTTGTCAGTGGTGGTCCTGTCTCTCTGGTCTATGGGTATCTTCGTTCGTTCTTCTACCCTGCTCGACTCATGGGATGGTTCTGACCAAAAGGATAGTGGCAGTCGTTGGATCCAGCGCAACCGCAGCGTCCTTGAGTGAAATGGTGTCAATGTCAGTGCCTCATGTCGACGGTTCAGCGCAGTAGGCTCATGTTTACCGCCCAGATACCCCACCGCTGGCGGCCAGTATCATTTTACAGCAAGGTTTGCGCCGGAAAGATTGCGGAGATCGCTCAGCTGGATCGTTGGCTGGATTGGTAAGGGCTCAGCCCCGGCGGCCACGAAACGACCAGCTAATCTTTCCATAACACCATCTTAGGGACATTCGGATGGGTGTCATTCACTGCCAGTGCCCCTTACCTCTCTGCTGGTATGCTTCAGGGCCTGGTAGTTCTCACCCGCGAGACGTATCAGCCCCAGCGCTGGCATGTATCTTTAATATACTGGGCTCTGGTCGGGCTGGCCGCCGTGCTGAATGTGTGGGGTAGTCGTCTGCTATCCTTGGTGGAGACTATCTCACTGTTTATTCATTTGGTTGGATTTGTTGCTATTCTGATTGCTGTGTGGGTTTGTGCGCCGGCAAAACACGATGCCCACTTCGTCTTCACGATTTTCATCAACAGCACCGGCTGGTCTACTGACGGACTGGCCTGGTGTCTGGGTATGCTCTCAAGCTGCTACGTTCTGACAGGTTTGTGCTCTGGCTTTCGTTGGCCGGGTATGTTGATACTGACTTTTGGCACAGGCTACGATGGAGCAATACATCTCTGTGAGGAGATGGCCAATGCCACGACGGCCGTTCCGTACTGCATGCTTGGCTCGCTGGCTATCAATGGCATCCTCGGTTTCGTGTTCCTGGTTACAATTCTTTTCTGCATGGGAGACATGGAGAGTGCACTAGAGACAGGTACAGGATACCCGATAATTGAGATCTTCCGCAGTGCAACCCAATCTTCGGCCGCGAGTTGTGTCATGACGGCTGTTCTTATCATTACAGCCTGGCTGGCCACAATTGCGCTGCTGGCGTCAACCGCTCGAATGGTCTTGTCACTGGCTCGAGATAAAGGTAAGACGAGTTTTCCATTGCGCTTTGGGCATCGGCACGCTGATGTTCAAACAGCCCTCCCATTCTCTGCCTATCTTTCTCACGTTGATACTCACACCCACCTACCAACCCGTTCTATCCTCGCCACAACCGGCCTCCTCGTTCTGTTCGGACTGATCAATATCGGATCGACCACAGCCTTCAACGCAATCCTCTCTCTCGCTGTTCTCGGGCTGCACGTCTCATATGTTGTTCCAATTATCTTCTTCTTATGGCGTCGCACTTGCCTACCGCAGAGCCTGCAGCCTGGACCGTGGAGGCTTGGTCGGGGTGGAATCATCGTCAACATTGTTGCCATTATTTATCTCTGCTTCACAAGTATCTTCATGGTCTTTCCCGCTTACCAGCCGGTGAATCCTTCGAACATGAATTACGCCTCGTTGATTTTCGGGGCTGTTCTGCTGTGGAGTGGCGGTTTCTGGTTATGGCGAGGTCGAAAGGAATATGACGGACCTGTGGCTGTTCTGGCAGATGGATGATGATTTGTTCTTTGGGTATCGAGAGGGTCTCAAGCGTATATATGCAATGAGTATGAGTACGATGAGTATAGCGAATAACTTCGTGGTGGGTCGATGAGGGCAGTGGGGGCACCTGACTTTCCTGTACCAAACCCGGTCAAGATAGCCGTACATACAATACGTGCAATACAAGCAATACCTACCGTATTTCCACATCCCATCCCATCCCGTCCGGCTGCCTGCCTCTTATCAACGATTCTTTTCTCTCTATTTCTCATCGTTCCTCTCTCGTTGTTTTACTTGCCTCCTCCTCATCACAGTCAAACCATCGCCATGGCACAATTCCCGCCCGTATTCCGCCGTCTACGGCGCCCACTTCGCCGAGGCCCCCTGCCACGTCTCCTGGCCACCATCACCATCGCCCTCGTCTCCTGTGCTGTGGGATTATACCTGCTCCTGGCGTACCCGCTGGCGGACGATCCCCGGCTGGTGCCGGCCAGCCTGCAGCGCGCGCGCAACATCCTGCTGGTGACCGCGCACCCGGACGACGAAACGCTCTTCTTCAGCCCGACCATCCTCTACCACCGCTCCAACCCCGAGGTGACTCGCGCCCTGCTGGTCCTCTCCTGCGGCAACTACAACGGGCTCGGCGACACCCGCCAGGCCGAGATCCACCGCAGCTGCGACCGTCTGGGCATCGCCCTGGAGCGCTGCATCGTCCTCGACCGCGGCGACCTCCAAGACAACCCCAAGGCCTGGTGGGACCAGGACCTCATCCGCGAGGTCGTCGCGCAGTACGTGCAGCAGTGGCAGATCGATCTGCTGTACACTTTTGACGACGGGGGTGTTTCGGGGCATGTGAATCACCGTGCTGTGAGCGGGGCTGTGCGGTGAGCTTTCCCTCCCATTTCGATACTTTTCACCGACATCATTTTCATATGCCCTACTTCAACGAATGGTAGTCAACTGATGAGTTGAAACGCAGAAAATTTGTCCAAACCACCCCCACCGCCCCGCCCACCTACATGCTACAAAGCGTCTTCCTGCTGCGCAAATACGCCTCGCTGATCGACCTGCTCCGCACCGCGCTGCCCTTCACCGGGCGCATCCTCCGCGCGCTGATGGTCAGTCCCCCGCATGATCCCAGCCTTGTGGTGGCGGGCCGGTACGAGGACACGGCGCTGCTGGTCAGCTCGTGGGAGACATACCGCGTGGCGCGGGCGGCGTTCGCGCAGCACGCGAGCCAGTACTCGTGGGACCGCGTGTTGTATTTGGTGGTTAGTCGGTATATGTGGTTCAATAACCTGGTGCGCGTGCAGTAGCTCCTCGGGGGTTGATTTCATGGAGTTGTTATTTGGGGAGTGGTTTAAGAGGATACGAACTACCGGGTCCGGAATTAGGGCACGCACTGGAAACCACGAATCTACAGTACAGGTTACGATTGATACCACGAATATGAACAATGAAACTAATGTACACAATACTCCTGAAAAGCTCAGACAAAAGTCTACACCATCTTCCCCTCCGTCTTGGCCGGCTCCATGCGGGTAGCATCCTGTCGTCGCGCGGCTCGTCGCCCCCGCGCCACGCAGAAGCACACGGCCCCCACGAAGGACAGCAGGAACACCACGATCACGAAGAACGAGAGGCGCTGGTCGCAGTGCGCGAAGTACTTGATCCACCGCGCGTCGCGCCCGTGCCACGACGAGGACCCTAGATGCTGGAACAGCGGGGTGTTGACGTATCCGTTCAGCATGTGCATGGTCGGATGGTCCGGAGTGCCGGCCAGGACGCGGAGGGCGGAGCGGTTTGATTGCAGTGTGAAGATGGTTCTGTCATCGCATGAATCGGATTAGCAACTTGTGCGTTCAGGAGGAATACATGCAGAGTGGATGGTCTTACGAGGCATAGTGACAGCCCGTGCTGAACATGATGGTAATATAGGGGAGGAGCGACCACCGCCGGTTGAAGCGCGGTAGGTTGTCCACCAGCGCGCGCATGTAGGCGTTGTTCGGGGCAGCGAGCATCATCCCGACCGAGATGCCCACGGGGTGCGCGGCGGGCGCCACGAACTCGAATTCGCGGAGAGGGTTGAGTGACTGTCGGCACGCGAGGTCCATGTCCAGGATTGCGCCTGTCCCACGCCATTGTTAGAAAGAGCGCTTTGCTGCTGTTAACTCGGGGGGATGGGGGAAGCCATACCGCCGTAAGTATGCAGCACCATATACCGCAGCGCATCCACCCGCTGCACCAGCGCCGGATATCCCTCCCACATCGCCAGCAGATCCGGGTACTGGCTTTTCACGAACTCGCGCGCGTTCTCATCCTCCCACAAGAACACCTCCCAGTCTGGATGATGGTCCAGACACTGTGCGCGGGCACTCAGCCATTCCGCTCGTGGCGCACTGGGGCCCAGGTGGACGTGATGGAGGCGACTGGGGATGTGCGCGTTCTCTGGGACAGCGCTGCTGTTGGCGTAGGACGCGAAGGTGACGTCGAAGCCGTCGCGTTGGGCAGAGATGACTGATTCGGCGGCGGAGGTCTTCCAGACGAAGGGCAGGCGGAGGAGGAGATATAGTTCGCGCATGGGTAGGAATAGACCCGTTAGTGTGATCACCGCGACTGCGACACAGAGCAGCCGTACTCGTAAAGAAGCCATCGTAACGACTGTGGATGCTGATTATCGGCGAGAGGAGAGACGAAGAATGATGGAATAGTGGGTGCGTGTATAGCGTCACGTAAGAAGTGTCAAGCCAAGGACTCCCCCGGCCGCGTGGTCAGCATTGTTGGCGAGATCCAAGGGGGATGAGATGTCACGGCCATGTAACCACCCGCGAGGCTCATTGCATTATTCACCGGAGCCGAGCCCAGCCCATCTTGCAGGTCCGGCCAGCATGTATCCAAGCCGCAGCGCGATGATGATGGTTGCCTAAACTTTCACTTGGACGACCTTTTGCCAATTCCAGGATGAGGGCAATCCCGCCATTGGTGTATGCGTGTAAGCGTGGAAACCCTGCAGGTCTGGCCAGCGAAACTAGCCCCAAACAAGGCATTCTGGTTGTCTGAAGTGGTTCCGAGGGCAGTGGAGCCGACCAGCGAGAAGATGAGGGGATGAGGGGATGAGGGTATTCGGATCCCGCGGGTTGCAGACGGACATCCCCCGAAGAGAACAGCGACCGGGTGGGGGCTGGAGAATCAATTCTAGTGATAGCTAAGACAAGCAATTGGATCGGCCGTGCTGATGCAAAGCCAAGCCCAACCCTTCCAGAGGTGGGAGGGAAGAAATAGAAAAAAATAGAAAAAAATAGAAAAAACAAAAATTAGAAAAAAATGGTGGTGGGCTGTCACTCGCTAGGCAAGACAACCAAGCTTTTTGGGACTGTGGCGGCTAAGGCTAGGAAAAAGGGGTGCAATGCTGTAGGGCTGAACTAAATCGGGACAAGACAGACTCAAGGATAAGTTAAGACTTGACCCTGAATCACCGACTGGATTGCACCGACTGTCGGCCATTTCCGCTTTCCGCCACAAGTTTCACATTATAGCCACGTCCCCTATCTATCTGGCTGTTTTCTCGCCTAAACCTTCCCGCACTCAAACCCTGAACTGAAGCCTAGTTTTTAGTGTTCGCCAAATGTCTCACATCCACCGGACAAGCAGCAACGAGGGCTATTCGCAACCTCTGTTTGGTCCGCATGTAGATAAAAATGAAAACATCCACCTGCATATTTGAGTTGGTCAGACGGGTTTGGCTTCAAGGGTCGTGCTTTCGGGGGTCTTTGGTCATGAGCAATCATTTTTTTTATCTTGCTTGCGTCCACCAGGCTCGGCCGCTCTGCACCGGCATACGTGATAGGAAAGATTGTGGCGGTAGTGGACCAGTGCTGTCTCCAGGCAGACATATTTCAAATTCACCTACGATGGGGTCTCTGTCGCGTCGTAGGCCCAGTAGGTTAGATCTTGCCGCCCCCCAAAGGGTCCGTTTGATCGCTGCCTAGCTATTGTGTAACTGTTGGAACCGCTGTAACGGGGTGGCATCTGTCACCACGCACGCCCTGGTTGCGGCTCAGCATCAAAGCTTAATTAATTATGGTGCGGTGGTTGGAGTTCACCGTGAGGCCCTCAACCATCAACACCACCATCTGTCACCCAGTATAGGATACGAGGAGCAGCAATGGCGCCCACTCGGCTGCGACGTCTGGCTATCTTCGCCCTCCTCGGCGCAGTGCTGATGATATGGACGCTGTATCAGCGAGAAGAGTGGGACAATGAATTGACGACCTTGGAGAGTCAATACCCGTTGCTCTATCACTATGTCCATACGCATCATGCGGAGGGAGGAGGTACGGTCCCGCCCCCCATCACAATTCCACGAACATGACTGACCATCTGGACAGCCTGGTACATTCCACCAACATGGATGAGCGCATCCGACCCCCAACCCAAGAACATCGTCGAAGCAGCCGAGCTGGCTCTCGGCCTCGTTAACACTGCCGAACACTATCTGCCGCACACGGCCATCCCGATGGTCGTGCATCAGACCTGGAAGGACACGCACATCGACACCTGGCCCCAACTCCTCCGCCACAGCGCCGAGCGCTGGCTGCAGGCGACGGACGGGCAGATGGCGTATTTCCTGTGGACAGACGCGGGGATGACTCAGTTGATCCGCAAGTTCGAACCAGCCCTAGAGGTGCAGTTCGCGAGTCTGGCGAGCAATGTCGAGCGATCGGATGTTTTTCGCATTCTGGTGTCTAAGTGGATCGGGGGTGTGGTAAGTTCAGCCCGGCCTGATTGAGTCTCTATATCTGTTTGAGGGATGGAGACTGATAGCAGATAGTACGGCGATATCGACACCGAGCCCCTCCGCCCCCCAATGAAATGGCTCGGCGCAACCGACCTCCTGCCGTGGAACGACACCCAGAACGGCGTCGTCTACAACTCGACCGGTCCAGTGCATGCCATCGTCGGGCTGGAAGCCGACTGCCGTGAGGATACCGACACCTACTGGCGTATGGGCTACTCACAGCCTGTGCAGCTCACCCAGTGGGCCTTTGCCTGGGCACCCGGCCATCCGATCCTGCAGACCTTCCTGGATGGCTTTTCAACCACCATGACGAACATCTCCAACCGCTACGGCGGCTCCCTCGACTCCCGAGCTGCGCGTCAGGAGCTGCTCGCCCTCGATCCGCTGACGCTGACCGGACCTGCCGCGTTCACGGATGCGGTGCGCGACCGGCTAGAGGAGGTTGCCGACTTGCGATGGCAGGCCCTGTCGGGGCTGCAGGATGGGGGAAAGAGTAAGCTGGTCGATGACGTTCTCGTTCTCCCTATTACTGGATTCAGGTAAGTGCACCACTTTGAGGTTCTTTGAGGGGTTCAGTATGGCTGACGGACATGGTGATGGTAGTCCCGGCCGCGGGGCGTATGGGAACATGGGCTCGAAGCCGATCACCGACCCCTCAGCCCGACTGCGGCATCTGGCGCAGGGGTCGTGGCGGGCGTTCGATCTGACGGTGGAGTATGGGAAGTTCTGTCGCACGGTGCTGGGCATGTGTCGCGACTGGTCCAAGGTGCCTACTGCTGCGATTGTTTGATAGTGCTGTCTGTTGTAATTCTATGGTGGTCTGCTACTGTGATTGTGGTGTTGGTGGAGTCGGGATGCTGGGTGTAAGGGCCCAAACAGCCCTTCCAACCTTCGCGGATATCTGCAAAGGGAAATATATATAGACAACCTAAGGCGGCGGTTATATAATAGCTAAGCAAGCCGGCTGCGGCCGCCTTTAAAAATAGCAGCTGCCTTATAAATTAGATAAAGTAGTAATAATATTTTAAAATAATATATTAATACCTTTAGTTTTATAAAAGCTATTTATTTATTATATTATTTTATTTTTTAGCCCTTATAATCTTATTATTTAATACTTTATAGAATAGTCTAGTAAGCAATAGCCGGCTATAATATATAAAGCTAAACTAAAAGTAATTTTTCTAATCTAATTATAAAAAACTATATATTAACTGCAGAAGATAAATTATCTATACTAAAAAAAAAATATAGATTTTAATTTAAAATTTTTATAAATATTTATACTTGTTTAAATAGATTACTAAACTGTAAAAACAGCTAAGAATTAGTACTATAAAAAAATATTTATATAAAAATTTAAAAAAACTCTAATTTTAGTACTATAAAAACTAAAAAAACTAGTATATATATTAATCTATTTATAAATAAAAAATAATATAATATTTGCAACTATACTATCTACTATATATTTATTACTAAATAAAAATTAACTATAGAAATTAATAACTAAAATAAAAGCCAGAAAATATATATTATAGTAGTTTATTTAAATTATATTTTAAATAATCTATAAAAAGATAAGGCAGCTAAATTTTACTATAAAAAAAATAGACTGGCTTTTATAAATTTTTTAAAATACAGCTAAAAAATTTTATAAATAAACAGTAAAAA